ATTTTCTCCCACCAGATCCTCACGACACTTTTGAGGAGGGCAGAGGAACATTCACACAGATGAGCCTCAGGTTATTACCCATGTAAGGAGGCACCTCCTGGTTATTATGCAAATACTACCTGTGCGGAGATCAGAGGGTGAAGGGATTTAAAGGCAGGAGATCTGAAATTGGACAGTGACATGTGACATGGATTATGGACCAGGACAGCTGAACACTTCCAGGTATTTCCAAGCAAGCCACAACCCAGACTCAACAGCTCCAACTGCAGACGCTGGGGACACATTTATTTCAAACTCTGTCACAGCAGACACTGGTAAGACCCCATAGAGTTGGATTTAGAGGACTCCTCACCTGTTATCATTGCATTTAAGTTAGAGAACACACTGACTGTCCTCCTCAGTTAATGGGCTCAGTAAACCAAGTGCACCTGCACTTTATGCTGCTATTTACTGAACTGGGAACATTTAGAGTTGCATCCTTTGGAATGAAGGTTTCAGAGGCACTGACCCATCACAGGAACTCAGTTCTGATCCAGTGTTTGGCTCCTGAATGACAGCAGGACTTTGAGCTTGTTTCACTTGCTGCAAGCTCGGGTCTATGGCAGCTTCTGTCCAGCCTAGGTCTATCCACAGAGCAAAGGACCCAAAAATTCAGGCTAATAAATAAAGGCTCCTTTCTCCTCCTTTTTTTTTCAAACCTGACAGCAAGATCCTTCAATCCTCCAGAAAAGTATGGTCTTCCTACCTCCAGTCCTCTCCACAGGGATCCTCCCCGAGTACATTTCTTCAGGCTCCTAAGATGCTCTTTAAGTCATCTGGAAAGAAATCTGTCTCCTGAGCTGACTCCCAGCAACTGCTCTTTAATGGACACACACCTTCAGGTCAGGGCAGCTGAAGCTACTCATTGTACTGGTTCATGATACCACCCTGCATTGCGCAGTGGAAGAGAATTCCAGGTGTTTTACTGGCCTTTAAAGAAACCACCTGAAGTATTTTCCTTGTCCTTCACCTTGCCTTTGCTCTGAGTTGCTCTATGGCATCCCCAAGCATCTAGAGATGTAAATACAAGTGCTGGCAGGAAATACTTAAGTCATAAATTTAATTAGAGGGCACTGAAAGCCTCTCTAATTACTTACTGCAGGAGGGGAAGCTGTTGCTGGTAGCTCCAAGGCTTTTGCTCTTATCGAGCCGTAGCAAGGAATTTTCCCCACAGGAGAAAAAAAGAGAGTCAAGTCAAGTGTATCCTAATTAAATTAATAAGCCATCCAGGGTCAGGATTTTATTTCCTATATAGATTAGAGGTCTCTTAAAAGCACATCTCATGCTCCCCTTTCCACCAGGATGCACTGCTGGAAGCTCTGTGGGACACCTGGGAATTCCCCTGCACTGGCTCACCAGGATGGTGACAGGGCAGGATTTTGCTCTGATAGGCAGCTCACAACTAAGAGGACAAACATTAACAGCACTGCTTCTTTATGTCTTCAAGAAATTATTCTTGTCAATCATTAATGCATAAGCAAAAAAAAAAAAAAATCCATCAATAAACAGGGAGGGCACGAAAAAAAGAAAATTTAAAACCAAAATCTGCATTGCAACTTACGTAACATTAACGGAGCTTATGCCAGGTTCTATGTGCTAGGAATTATATGCTACTTAGTGAGAGTTTATTCACCACTAAAACATGAGGCATTTCTCCTGCAGATGGGTTAAAAAAGCATTTGCTTTCCCACTGCCAAAGTGTGAGAGGAGGAAAGGGACACACTGGAAACGGAGCAGATGAATAATCGTGGTCTGGGCACCTTCACACCACAGCACCCTGAGACTGTGTCTATTCTCACATCAGCCTTCTGCTCAGGCTCAACATGAAATGTTTGCAGGCCGATTAATATTTTTTTTTCTACTCTGAATGAATAAGTAATCAATGCCTCATTCCCTCTACTCCCCTAGGGGAGAAACCATCACACTGAGATAAAAATGGAGCCACAAGTTGCCTCCCTACACACTCAGCCCAGCAGCAGAGTTCATGTTGGCACACAGATCTGACCAAAGGTTTTTGCTGGATGATTGTCTCCAGGGTTTTTGGTCTTGCATGAGTGAAGAAAAAGCATTTAGGCTCGAATTACAGGAGCACTGTTGCCACTAATAAGGCATTAACATTTACCTCCCTCTCCAGCAACTCCATAAATTACCAATAGGGAGGGGTGGGAAGAGGGAGGGGGGAAAAAAAAAAAAGCAGGTATTGTCTTCTCAGCCTGGCATTCAGCCATGTGCCCAGCAAGCTGACAGACACAACTGCAACAGAGGCACATCCCTCCCCAAAATTCCTTTGGCAAGACCAGTCCTGATCACCCCACAGTGGCCAATTAGTTGTTTTGATGGTAGTTTCATGTAAATATAACGGGTTCTGTGAAAGGGGCAGCTCCTACATCGGCTCACCAGTGATGTAGCACTGAGATCTCAAACACACATGCCCAAAATTCACACGGGTGCTTTAAACACTGTCCTGTAGCTTGTCATTAACATGCAACTGACTGCACCGCTGGCTCTAGTCTTTTAACTGAATTTCCTTCTAAATTATCACTTGCACTCAACCCTGAGTACATATCTTTGCTTGGAACTAAAATCAATGCTCTCTCCTGCTCCTCAGCCAGGATCTTGCCTGCGGATTGTCAGTACTTTTCATCAGCACAGCTTCACAGGCTCCTTTCTCCCTAAAGAAAAGGAGAGGAAATTTCCAGTGCACAGGCCTATTTTTGAGTACCACAACTCTCATTACCTCCGTGTGACATCCATAAGGATGCTTAGGGGAACAAGGATGGCCCTCTTACCCTTTCTGCCTGAGCTCAGCAGCTCCGCCGACGCACAAAGGCAAATCCCCTGCAGGCAGAGGCTGGCTTTGACAACCCCAGAGGGAAATGTGGCTGGAAACAGGCACGGAGGAAGAGATGCCAAAGGGTTTTATCCCTCAGGTGCCACTATGCAAGCGAAACTCCAGTGAGCGAGGGCAGCTCTGCAGCACCTCAGTCGTGCTCGGCTGTGGAAATGCAGGGTTATTTTTTTTAAACTGAAACCCAAAGCAAGCAACAAAATGAGAGCAAGGTGCAGTCAGAGATCAATCCACTGCCAACTTCTTTCACTACCAAGGCCAATTCTTTTTATGCTCTCCACAAATTATCCTCTCACCTGGACATCACAACTGCCCTTATAGCCATGGCCAGACTAAGTCAGCCCCAAGGTGTCTTTAAGCACAGCCAAGCAGACAAGAACCCCTATTTCTTCATTTTCAGAGCACACTGCTTCTGGGGTGTGATTAGACTGCGGAAAAAATAGGTCTCAGGAGAAGATAATAATAAAGGAAAGTCCATTGCAGTCTCCTAATCTGCTGTCTCACATTCAGGCTTTCCAAACCCCAGCACATCCAAGAGCAGCAGCGACACCTGTAAGGTATGTAAAAAGCTATTTCACTCTGCTGCAGGTCAAAGCCTCTGCTGTTGAGGGGCAAAGGACCAGAAAGTTGAGTTCAAAGGGATTGCCTTTGGATCTTTTATCCAGTGTGCTGGGAGTCAACTGTGGAGTGCCCGGGAACAGAGGAACAATTAGCAAAAATAACATGGGATTCAGCACTTCTTCCCTACAAACAAATCCTGTTTATGTAAAGCCTCAGGGATGAGGGTGAAAGCTTGACAAGATAAGATGATGAAAGTGAGCACACGCAAAACAGACTGTCATAAATCAGAGGGGAGCAACAGTGGGTATTTTGCAAAGAATATACGTCCCTTTTTTTGGTTGGGTTCGTTTCTGTTTAATGACAAAAAGCAAGCATTGTGTTTGTGTCAGGGGGAAAAGAAAACAAGCGTTCACGACACACTTTGGAGCTTTATGTATCAAAACTAACTGCCAAAATACACCTCCCAGTTGTCTGTTTTCAAGCAAAGCCTCGCTCTGCTGCCTGGGTAACCAGCGTGCCTGTAACCTCTGCTGACAGGGACCCCAGGTGTCTGAGCACATCCCATCGTTACCTGCCCCTACTAAACACAAAACAGGGAATTTCACGTGTTCGGCCCACACTGTGTTAGTAGAAAGCTTTAAATGTCTTTTTTTTTTTTTTTTCTCCAGTGTTGAGGCTTTCTGGAAATGCCTGACACTCTGTGTCAGGTGCATCCTGCAGCAATGAGGGGATCGGGTGCTGACGTCCCTTTGGAGAAACAGAAGATTTTCAGATGATGCAGATGAAATGAAAATACTCCAGTAAAATCTGGTGGACCATTATGTGCCCATAGGACAGAAAATTAACTAACCTGCAGTTATCTGCATCAAGGGGGTCGATCTGAGCCGCCAGTCCCAGGGCCAGAGTGGCCTTTAACCACAGCAGTGGGATTTACAGGGCAGATAATTAGGTCTCTGAGATCCACAATAACAGGTAGGATGCTTTCACAGGGACACAAAACCAGATCAGAACTTGCTTAACATTGTACCAACACGTATCATGACAGCACAAACACCTAGAGCAGTCAAGCACTGCTGCAGGAAGGACCTGGGGCTCAAAAGGGAACAAAATGAAGCAGTTTGACAGGGGGATATACAGGATTGGGATGCAGATAAAAACACAAGAGCATCTCCTTCCTTTAGGAAGCTGGAGGTGAGTCTGAAAGGGAAAGGTTAAGTGAGTTTCTCTTGAAATAGTGTAACTTGTGGGGCTCTCACACACTCAGAAAGAAGCAGCAAGGAAATGTGATTACAACCTATGATTTCCTGGCCCACCAAGAATACAAGAAGAGGCAATATTTTGTCTGTAAACATTAAAATAAGAGCCCTTTATAAAAACAATCTTTCTGTCATTACAGCAAAAACACTGCATTGTACTTAACAGCAAAAAGCTCTTAAGAGAACACTTCAAACACTTCATTTAATTTACACCCTTCACACAGGTAATAACTAAAGGATTCCAGGTTAAAAAAAAGCCACTGAATAAAACACACTTCATAGTTTTATGTGCTCACCTTCCCATCGTAGCGTTTCACTATGAACTGGTCCAGGCCCAGGTCTGAAAGGAAAAGAACAAAGATACTTAGAAAAAGCTCTTAAAGCCTAAAAAGAAGTATTTCTTGTGTTTTCTGTTTAAGAAGATTAGAAAGTAAAATGTACAGCCTGAGGAGAGCACAGGCTGATTTTTGGTGCTATGAAGAATAAAACCCCTCCACAGAGCGATGCCCCATGCATTTTTTGCCACTGATTATGGTAATTATCACATCCTCATTTCAATTTAAATTAGAAAAAAGATGGAAAAAGCCAAATAAAACCTTTTCCCGTGCCTGCTGCATCACCTGCTTTTGAAAGAGGAGACAGGCTCACGCTAAGCTGCAGAAAATGGAATTATTCATCCCACCAGGGTGACCCCCTCACCCTTGGTGACATAAACCAGCTACAACTCCTCTATCACCTCTATTTCAAAGGTCAAGCCAATTGTCAGAAGGCTTTTTGCACTTGTGAAAATTCCAGCCAGAAAGCACCTTCTCAATGTTTCATGTGCCTGGTAACAGTGAAAACTGCATATTCACATACTTTTTCAGAGTTTAATCTTCTGAATTTTGTCTTCCTCCAAGTTGTGGGTTTAAATGCAGTAAGTACTGGCACGTTTAGATGTAGGATTCATTGGATAAATGTGATTATTTTGCTATAGACATGTTATCTGGTCAGAGCTCACCCCTGACCATCCATCTGGATGGTGACTTGAGCTGAGCTTATGTCCATGTGTCATAATAAAGTCATTTCTCAGGAACACCTCCTTTCCCCATGCCAGGAAATAGTGCTGTAAGACAGATCCCTGACAGCCTGACATTCTACATGTGCTCATGGAAAGCTGAAAAAAGGACATGGGTTAAAAATAGCAAGTGAAAGTATGTCTTAATGGCACCCCCTGCAACTGGACACTACTACTGGGAGAGCAAACGGGTTTCAAAGCAGAGCCAAAATGAATGGATCCTGGTGTAGATGAACTGCAAGAGATGAGTTAGTAAGTGTCATTTTATAGCTCTAAACATATTTCTAAACAATTATAATAAATATTGATGTAATATGGAATAAATAATCATAGAATCCTAAAATGGTTTGGGTGGGGAAGGGACCTTAGAGCCCACCTGGTTCCACCCCCTGCCATAGGCAGGGACACCTTCCACTAGCCCAGGGTGCTCCAAACCCCATCCAGCCTGGCCTTGGACACTTCCAGGGATGGGGCAGTCACAGCCTCTCTGGGCAACCTGTGCTAGGGCCTGCCCACCCTCACAGGGGAGAATTCCTTCCCAATATCTAAACTTAACCTACTCTGTCATTTTGAAACCACTCCCCCTTGTCCTGTCACCACATGTTCTTGTAATAATGTACTGTGAGCCTCAATGTACATAGAGAAAAGTGATTAAAACAGCCAAGTGACATCTAAAAAGGCAGACTTTCAGTCCCTGTACTAAAGAAAAGGTTAATAACATAAAATTTTTGTTTGCCACAGATGCAACATGAGATGGGCAAAGCGGGAGGTGATGTGGACCGTGACTGACCCATGGCTGTAACTGTACCCCAAGCCCCAGGCCAGCTGCAGAAACCAACAGGTCTGTCCTCAAGCTTCTGAGCTCCGAGGATTTCATTCTTTGCTGAACAAAGTGCTTACAGCACCAGAGAAATGGGGTTTTTATTCCCCATGTCATGTCAGCCTCCTCCGACACAATCACGTCTGACGAGAAGCAAATCTATAACATTGGTTTATGCATATCTGGGAGAGCGGGGAGAGACATTTACATGAAAATGCAGTACAAAACTCTGTCACTTTTCCTGTTGCCTTTTTTCATGTCATTGTACCAGCAAGCCCTGGAATACAGTGTTGGGGAATGGGGTTAAATCCAGCGGGCAGCCGGTCACTAGTGGGGCTCCCCAGCACTGGGACAAATGCTGTTTAATACCTTTACTGATGATCTGCATGAGGGGATCGAGTGCACCCTCAGTAAGTTTGCAGGAAACAATCAAGTTGGGTGGCAGTGTTGATGTGCTGGGGGGCAGGAAGGGTCTGCACAGGGATCTGCACAGGCTGGGTCTGTGGGCTGAGCTCCAACAAGGCCCAGTGCCGGGTCCTGCCCTTGGGTCACACCAACCCCTGCAGCTCCAGGCTGGGCCAGAGGGGCTAGAAAGCTGGGAAAGGCCCTGGGGGTGCTGGGGACAGGGGCTGGACATGAGCCCGGCTGTGCCCAGGGGGGTAAGAAGGCCAAGGGCCCCTGGGCTGTGCCAGCCACGGGGTGGGCACAGGCCCAGGGCAGGGATTGTCCCTATGCTGGCACCGCTGAGGGACCCCCAGGGCTGTGCCCAGTTCTGGGCCCTCAACAGGAGAGCCCCGGAGGGGCTGGAGCGTGTGCAGGGAAGGCAATGGAGTTGGGAAGGGGCTGGAGCAGCAGGAGGGGCTGAGGGAGCTGGGGGGGCTCAGCCTGGAGAAAAGGAGGTTCAGGGGGGACCTTCTGGCTCTGCAACTCCCTGACAGGAGGGGGGAGCCAGGGGGGTCGGGCTCTGCTCCCAGGGAACAGGGACAGGAGGAGAGGGAACGGCCTCCAGCTGTGCCAGGAGAGGTTTAGATTGGATATTGGGGGAAATTCCTTCACCAAAGGGTGGTCAAGCACTATAACAGGCTGCCCAGAGCAGTGGCGGAGTCACCATCCCTGGAGGGATTTAAAAGCCATGTAAACGTGGCACCACTGGGAGCACGACTTAGTGGTGGCCTTGGCAGTGCCGGGTTAATGGTTGGACTCAATCTTAAAGGTGTTTCCCAACCTAAACGATCCCATGGCTCTGTTGCACACACGAGCACATTGGTTCCCATCAGTTCTATGCTCACCCTTTCTCCCAGCCATGCACAACAACGTCCCCTCTGCTGCATTAATTAAGCTGCACACTTAAACCCCTCTATAAAAGTCCTCTTAAATAGCTCCTGAGAGAATAAGCCAATTCAAAAGCTATAAAAGGGCATTTATGTTCAAGGCATACAGTTTTACTCTATACATTTTCCTTTTGCCAATACAGTTCATTTTCTTTTCTGTGGACTTAACTGCGTGGGGTTTTTCCACAATCCCTTAAAGCTGACAAAAGCAAACCAACAAAGAGGGTCTGTTGCTTGATGCCTCTGTTCTCTCTATACATTGCACAAAAGATCCAAGAGGCTTTTCCTCCGTGATGTTACAACAGGAATTCAGTGCATGCGTGGGCTGGAGAGCCAATGGAAACACTGCAAGGATGAGGACAATCACATCTAACAGGGGAAGGGAAGAAAGTTAGTTATTACATCTCTGCTATTCAAAAGGCAACATCCTACATTAGAGGCACCTCAGGATTGTCTGTAAATGACACACTCATTAGACAAACAGCCCCTGGCTGGGCAATTGCTGAAGAGCTGCAGGAACACAAGCTAATAGGCATATTTAACCAGTTAAAAGAGAGCTTTTCCACCTTTCACTGGAAATCAGGGGTTGAAATACCATTCTCCCAGAAGTGGATGAAAGGGTTTCCTTCAAGAGAGGCAGCAATGAAATGCAGAAATCATTTCAGGAGGATACCTGGCTGCTTCCAGAAGCCTCCCTGCGACAAGCACCACGGCTACTCCAGACTGCACAGGGACCACCCTGGGCTTCAGTGCTTGTTTCTGCTTGGACAAACCCAGAGTTTCCCCATGACCTGCCCCAGAATATGCTTTTTATTTACCTGAGACCCTGCACAACACCTCCCCTTTCCCTACACATCTGGGTTTTCAAAGCTGCTCTTGCTCCCTCAAACAATGATGACCTCCAATGATTTCCAAACCAGCTTCCCTGTAATCTTTAACTACCATTACTCCTAAAACTTCTGATACCACCTCAATTACTATCAGGGGCCCAAAAGAAACAGCAGCCCTGCCATGGAGTACCTAAGCACGTTGCAACGCTCCATGTGTTATTTCAGACTAGACTGACACCAATGCCAGGGATATAGGCTGCCACTTTTATTCATGTGATAGTACTTTCACAGCGCTCTAAAAATAAAAATGCTTCAAAATAAAGCAAAATGACTTACACTCACTGCCTGCCACAAAGGGGAAAATGGGGTTTTCGACAGCAGGACCATATTCCCTGTATTTACTTCTCTCATTGTAGTCTGGGGAGGATGTTTTAATGGAGAAGGAATGAATTATGTAAAGGAAAAAAACACAGAGTAACTTGCTGTTACTCCTGTTCAGCTCTAGCCAAATCTAAAAATCAAATGCTTATTATATTTCTATTGATTAACAAGAACATACTTTCCATGGATTCACTCAAAGCCAGCTAATTACCACACTTGATAAATATCTAGAGTTACTAAGCTCTTCATGTTATCTTGTAAAAAAATCCATGGCCAGTAGGTTATAGATTGCAGTTTTAAGAAAAAAAAACATTTAAAAAACGAGCTTCCAGAAGAAGAATGATTACATTATGCCAAGAACACAGTTGAGATCAATTAGAAACCACCATGATTTCCTCTGGGATGCCAGCAGCTTTCCACCGATGGAAAAACCTTTTCAATTGCTTCCAGTCTTGATATCCTTGTCAGGTTTTTCACACTATTTGGGTAACATTCCCTCATGATCTGCTTCTTCCCCACTGCTTAATATATAACATGGACTCTTTCTTGCCAGCAGATGAACAAAAGGGCTAATTATGAAGACTGAAGAGCCTGTTAACCATGCTTGTGATGTGCCATGTTGTGGCACAGAAAAATGTTGGAGCAAGTTTTCCCCTTCAGAGCTGTAACCCAGCTCCTGATTTTTGTATGAGGACTTCCCCTCTGAATTTAAAATGTAATCTGCAAGCAAACAATGAGCTGCCTGAGATTTCTCAGGGGACAACAGCCTCAGGTTTGTGTCTCAGTCCAGGACTGTTTTCTTCAAGGAACAAGGGAATAAGGGACTTTGCTCTCATCTATCTCCCCCTCCTCCAACAGGCAAGTCAGTCTCCCTATGAGATGTGTATTCCTAACACCCCTGATCAGCCATACCAACCTGTCAGCTATTTTGGAAGCCCTAATTACTTGATTTTTAGCACTTAAACACACATATAAATGCACCTCTTGCTTGCTATTTTCCTCCTTGGTTATTTTTCTGGTATCTCATATCAGGCTCAAAGATGATTCTTGCCTAGGAATTATGTATTTTCAAGAGAAAAAAACCCTCCTCTGAATTACCTCTCACTTGCATCCCTTAACACCCCTCCAGCAGATGGAACTGGGAGAGAACACAAAAGTAAGTCCCCATCAACAAACCAGAAGGCAAGTTCAGCATCTCTAGTTTCCTTCTAGATCTTAAATATCCCAGTTGAACACTTTGTATAACTTCAGGCATCTGTAGAAGCCCAGAGAGTCCTCCCCTCCTCACCATACCAGCTGAGTGCCTGTCACAGCTCGTGGCTGCTGGTTCTACAGAGGCTCAAAATAACAATCACTCAAACACTGCACCAACCCAGGAGCCAGCTTGTGCCCAGCTGCTCCTCGAGTCCAGACATGGAAAACAAACCATTTGAACCCAGAGAACCAAGCTGTACAGTCTGGTCGAGCCACCAGACGTGGGCTCTGTCCTTCACGGCTCCTCTCCTCCGACACCATCCTGTGCACAGAGGCTGCAGGGGCACAGCTGCTGCTTCTGGCTGAGCTTCAACAGCATGTTTGGGGTTTCTTGCAGGCAGGAAAAAAACCCCAAAACAACAGAAAAACCTTTCAAGAGCTCAGATATTTGAGCTCCTGCTCGTTTCATGGTGAATCCTGAAAGGCATCTTGCACGCAGCAGAAGTTTGAGATAACCAGTAAGATTAACGCTGGGATGGAAGAGCGTGACTGGTTTGGGTATAACCTGCCTCTGTTACAGTGTGCTGGCATGAAATGTGACATATTTCTTACTTCTTTCAATCATTTTTGCAAAAACCGTAAGAAAACTGGTACTGGCTGAGCACGACACAGCTCCTTCTTAGTCCAGGATGCTCCAAAACACTCAGTTTCCCCAGGAAAACAGCAATGCAGAATGGACCCAGGTAAACTTGGGGAAATGGAGGGAACCTGTATCCTTTCCACCAGAGAAAGAGTATTTTCAGCTGGTTTGGGACTGGGGTGCAAAGGAAGCACCAGGTACCAAACAACCATCCCTGCCCATCCAGCCTCGGAGCAAAGTTCTCTCTCAGGTATGAGAGTGGGAGGAAAAAAAAAATAATGCAGGACTGCAGGGAGCAGAAATCACCACCCACGCTTCTGTTGGTGCTTGGACTCTGCAGATAGCACATAAAGAAATTATTTGTTTAAAGCAGCTTTCAAGTTTAGTGCCATTCTTTGGCTTATCCTGACAGACCGTTCCAGACTCAGCAAGAGCGTGTCACTCCTTAAGCACAGCTTGCCTGCTTGGGAAAGTTGGGGCAGGAAGTTTGACTGAACCAGAGAAAGCAATCTCCAGGAGCTGAGGAACTGGCATTCATTTTCCCCAAGCCAGCAAAACACAGGCTCGAATTAAGCTGGCACTTTATAAACAATAAATCAAACTTTCCCCACCGTAATCCACAAAAATGAATCAGGCACACGATACCTCGCAGTAGATGAGCGCTTTAAAAATAAATACAAGAGGGACTCTTGTATTGTTGACTCCCTCATTACTCCAAATCACTTCTATCCCACAGTATTTTCTCTCCAGTAAACAGAAGATGCATTAACAAGGAGTTACTCGTTGAAATTCCAACTGGGAGCTTGAGCCCACAGAGCATCCCCTGCCCTGCTTCTGGGATACTCCAGCCCCAGTGGAGGGCACACCCATGTCATGACTCAGGGAGAAAGCAGCCCCAGCATTTCCCAACTAATCTATAACCTAGATGAGTCAAAAGTACTGCAGGGATGTAAAGTACAGAACTCATCTGGCCAGCAGGTAGCACTCTTTGTTTTCAATTTCTGGTTTAAAAAAAAAAAAAAAATCACACCTATCTTCCCTTTTATTTTTTTACTACCAGCTTTAAAAACATTTGGGAACAAGGTTATGGCTGGTTTGACTTTATTGTAACAATAAGTGTTTTACTCTTCTACTGTTCATTATGTACTAAAAATCCCATTTGCTGGGATGGTCACAATGTTCAGGAACAACCACCTGAGCAGTGGCTGTGCCTAGAACCAAGCCCATGACAGTGACACTCCTGAAGGCAGATTTTCCAACCAAGAAGAGCCCAGATGCCCACCCCTCCCGCCAGTGCCAGCTGATGGGCAGCCAAAGATCCATTTCCACCTCATTCCACTTGCCAAGAGCACCTAAGGATCACTAAGGTCACATTTTTCCCTGACAAGCTGCTGTGTGTCACTGACTGGCAGCATTAGCAGGCAATTAAAGGCAGTGCCTGGCTTCACGGGGCCATCTCAACAGCCAGGATAACAATGGGAATAATGGGAAGTGAGTGGCTAAGACTGACAAATTATTTCCCATTAGTCACCTTCACTTGTCTCCAAAGGAGGTGTTTGCTGAGCACTCCTCCACCTATTTTCTGTACACATCTTAAAAGGCACCAAGGACATAGATGGAAGAAGTAAAAAAGAATCAGATGTGTTGAAATGCAACACAGGATGTTTTCTATTTTTAAGCTTCCTGACAGGTGCTGCTGCTTTTCCAAGTACCAGTTCAAGAAGCTTTAGATAGACAAGATTATAACCTACAGCCATGAATTCACATAGAAACTACAGCCATTTCCAGGACTTGATGAAAACCTAAATGTCAATTCACCCACGTGCTTTTAACACTAATATCAGGATTATTTTTTCTCCCCTCCTGCACACACTTCACATTGTTATTTTCTAAGCACGAGTGGACGTGGTATTTATTTAGCAGCTGTCATGTAAGATTTCAATACCGTTTCACAGTTTGCACATAAACCCCACACTTAAAAAGTTAGCATTTGGGGGCTGAAGTTCTTAATTAATGCCTGGAGGGAGGAGTTTTAATTTGACAAAAGCCTGTTTCACTCTTTGAGATACAATGTGGGAGACCCAAGAAACATGATCCCCCATGTCTCACCCAAAACATGAATCTCCTCCAAGACAGAATGCAGACAAAATCCTCCTGCCACCCCACCAATACCAAATATTCAGGACACAGTTTTCCAGACAAGAAAAAAGTGTCTGCTCCCCCACTTGTCGCCTGCCAAATTCCCAGAGGTCCCACAGCTGATTTGCTCCCCTGCAATCCACAGGAAATTTGGAGACAGCAGAAATGAGCTCTGCCCTGGCCAGCAGCATCACGTGGGGGCTGCCTGGGCCCCTTCAGAATCATTTGGGTTGGAAAAGACCTTTTAAGATCATCGAGTACAACTTTTACTGCCAAGGTTTCCCTTGCCAAAGCAACCTCCTTTTGAAGGTTTAGGAACAGTTCCTGAAATGTTTCAGTCCAAGGTAATCTTTCCCTATTAAATGCAGGAGAAAGGCATCCCACTTGCTCCTCAAGGGCTCACACCAACCAGATCTACTATGCTGCAACAGCATTCCAGGCACCATGGAAGGGATCAGGCTAATTTTGGGCTTAGAGATGGGAAAGAGAGCTTCAGGAGGTGCTTCCTATCTCTTAGCAATGCCAGGTTCAAAGCTGGGAAGTTTAAAGATCAGGTCAGCAGAGACCAGAGCGTGTCAGTTCCCCACATTCCCCCCCACTCATCACTTACTCTCTGGCTGCTTTTCGTTGGGTGTTATGGACCTCACAAAGTCCTGTGGTGTCATAAAAACCTCCGACTCCCCGTGCTCGTTGATCACTTTCAACGTGGCAAAGTATCTGAAGATCTTGTCCGGCGTGGAGTAGGCTCTGATCCTGTTCTCATATTCCATCACCTGGAAATGGAATTGAAGCAGCATTAGATGTGCTGTGTCCTCTCCCAGCACCGACCCTCAGTCCTCTGAGGGATTTGCCACGGGACACGTTGTGTGCAGCAACACAACCCCTCAACCCTTCCAGCATCGTCTCCTTCACAAGCCTATCCTCAGCCTTGGAACCACCAGGAGAACTGGACACATGAGCTGCTGGTGTGCCCAGATTCAGAACAAACACTAAAAACCTGTATTATTTATAAGTTTAGACTCTTCATCCTGGCACAGGAAAAACAAATTAACAATTAACAAAATCCCCAAAGGCGCTTTTAAACATGAGCACAAAAAACCCAAAACAAAACAAAAAACCAAACAAAAATAACCCCTGGCATCAAATTTGTGAATCTAAAGCAGCTCAACGTTTTAACCACAGTGTTGACGGGTTTGATTTGTGATTAATAAATGAATTCAAAGAAAAGAGCCTTGGAGAGCTGGGAGAAACCTTCACTTTCAAGCAGAGTCTTGGAAAAAACTACTCAGAGCCGCAGCTGGTTGCTCTGTCACCCAACCTCATTTTTTCCTCTTTTCTATCACACTGGCAGAATTCCACAGAAACTCAGTCCTCTTCTCCCCACCAATCTGCCTCTTGCTCACTCTGCCAGTAGTGATTATTTTGTACCTAGAACTACTTTGCCCAACACACAACTGGAATTAATCAAAGGGAACAGAAAGCTTTTCTAAACAATATCACATCAAAAGGCCACAAGGGAGGAAAAAAGGCACAAAAAGACCTGCACTTCATCATGTATTAGGGCAGAAAACTTTCCTCCTTACTTCAGCTTTTTATTCCTGCATCATATGCCATGTTTAACAGTCCATAATGTACTTGAAACCTTCAGTACTTCTGGCCAAGAGCCACAGAAGAAAAAAAAAACCCTACCAATGATGTGCTGGAAGAGAACAGGCAAGATCAAGGGTACTGCCAAGGCAGCTGTAGATCATTTCTGGCTTTGGTCCTGTTTCAGCCTTGTCCTTTAACTTGAACAACTTCCTCACCCTGATGTTTATCAGACAGAAAACACCCTCTCTAGTTTTTCCTGTTTCTAGGATAGAACAAGTCCCCCAGGTCAGCTTTTAATCCCCCAAGTCAGGCTTTGGTAAAGTAGCTGGGGGAAAGCAAAGCCTTTCCTCTACATTTGTTCCAGTTCAGATCTCCAGCAAATGCAACCAGAGATGACATTATCCACAATGACAATACCTAAAGCATTCCTTCCACTCTTCTCTGTATCACCATGGCTTTTCCATAATTCACACGCCCTTGCATCAACCACTAGAGACAGTTCCCTCTTTCCCACAGAGAAAGTTTTTGTCCCCAGGCCCTTTGCACCTATAATCAACAAACCTTATCTGGTTCTTATTGCTTCAGTCTCCAAAGATAAGGGCACTGGACCAAGGGCAATTGCTTTATTGCCAAGTTACAAGTCACTGTCAATCAGCTGAACTGCAGTAAAAGATGACACCCACTTTCCCAGCTCCTTCTGGCTTTGTCTACTGCTCCCACCTGGCAGGAGGCAACTCCTTATGCCAAAGTGATCATCTGACTTGGGGCTGCAGGCCCATATCTCACTCTTTCCTGACCTGATCTCATGAATAACACTCCACCCACCTTAATCAGCCAGAAACAGTCTGGTATTTTTACCTTCCAGCAAGACAACTAAACCCAACGATCAAGCCCCAGACTGGAGCCAAGAGCAGACAGCACAGACCACAACCAGCCCCCTCCATCCACGACACCCCTTCAACACAGCCTGCTTTCTAGCTAAAAAAACTCATCTGCCCAATTTTCCAAGCCTGTGGAAAAATTTCTTGCCAGGTACTTGCAAGACCAAATGCTTTCCCTCCACCCAGCTGGGCAGGCTGCACCCCTTTCACTCGACAACCCCACTGCTGCACCAGAGACACGAGTCCAAAATGTTTCTGCCACTGAAACTGTATTTCATTTTATCCCATTTGACTGCACATCCACCATGGATCTATCCACTCTGTATCTATTTTAAGACCTTGCTAAGATGCTACTGTCAGGTGCTCTTCTCCTCACGTTGAGAGTATGGGCCTTGCCGTTGTCTCTTTACTGAGGCTCCTCCTCACCAGTCCAGCAACTTCACTGCCAGCTCTTTCTTATCCCAAGCCCAGGGCAATCCCCAAGGTCCCTGCTTTGTGGATGTTAAGCAGCCCACATTTTGCTCTGACTGCCCATTCAGATCCACGCTGCACCCTCAAGTCCACCAGAACCATCACAAGAAGCAGAGAGTCCATTCACAGTGTCCCTTTCCTGGACCGTGTGCCATCCTGTCCTCTATCCATAGGTACTCCTGAGGGAAGAGTGGATGCCTGCCAGGCACTCATGAGGATGCAGTTTTGAATATGCAGTTCTAGACCAGGAAGGGTCACAGTCTGTTACAGCTCAAAAGCCACACCTGACTGCCAAAGCACCAACAGCTTACTAACGACACAGGCTCAAAAACAAGTCTCCTGTCTCAGCTTGTAGCCCAGTCTAGGCCAAAAAAGTAGAATCTAAACTGCTTTTTAGCATCTCACAGGTTGTTCTCATCACAACCCAAATCCCACTTCTTCCACAAGAAGGGAACAAAGGCAGCCCCACTCCTTCCCCTTTGCCCGCAGCTGAACTCACAATTACATCATTTTCTCTGACATGAGCTAATCAGCTGGCAAAACCCGACAAATATGCTACAGCCCATCCCTCTGACTTCAAGGTTGGATGGAACACAAAGCCAGGTCAAGAAGGGAGCAGCCAAGATGCTGCAAATAAAAACCTCACTTACTCAAGACTGGGTGCCGAACATGCAGTGGGTGATGGGTGGCCTGATCCCATGTGGAGACGAGAGCCCATGTATTTGGGTGCACACACCACCATTTGTGAGGGGTTTTTGCACTACTTCAAAACAATCTGGACATAAAATCATCCCAGGCAAGTGTCCCCCCTCCCATGACCTCGCACCTTCCCCCAATACACACCAGTCCTGGACACAATGAGGAGCAGCCAAAAATTCTAATCTGCCCCCAGAACTGCAGCCTCACAGAATCAGGCACCTCCAGAAAGATAATGGGATTCAAAGGGAGAAGTCCCTTTTTGGCACTTAGTAACAGAGCATGTACTGGAGGAGAAAGAGGAACAAGTAATCCCTGCTGCTCTACAAGAGGGAAGCTGCTGTTGAGACTGTCAGTGTTTATGCTAAGCCTCAGGTTAAAAGGCAAAGAAACCCCTTAATCTTATGCTGACATGAAAATAAAGCTCTAAATTAACATCTCAATGCACTTCAGAGCATCGAGGGGCCTCCCTGACCATGCAACAGCACACATCGTAGCAGGGTAAGTTAATTAGGATTCATTTTCTTTGTGTTTCCCATTGTGACGCACAACCAAATGAAGGCTCAGCACACTAACACCCCAAGGCAACATACCTGCAGGACCCAAACACTGCAAGTGCATCTTGATAAAGCAGCCCTAATGCTGCATGCAAACACTTCTGGCAAGTTAATTAACACATCAGCCTGCCCACACCATATATTACAGCTCATTAGCCTTCAAACCATAGAGGCACTCAAGTAATCTTTTCCTTTTCTACCCTACACACTGCACAGACAACACGTGCCTGGAACCATCCACACAAGACCCCAACACTTGCTGAGGGGTTTATATTTCAACTTTCCCTTCACTGGATCACTACCTAAAATAGCAACGTCAAACTTAATTTATTACTTCACCACTAATCATCAGCTTCATTAAAAGCAACATTGGGATAACAAACAAGTGTTAAACACTTGCAATTAGGCTTAATTTTTTCCGCAAGGAAAATCCCACACTATTTTCAATTAATTATGGGAAGAGTCGGAAGGGGTTTTCACTGTGGGTGGCGGTGTTGCTAGGGTTTTTTTAAACGTGTAAGAAAGAGTCAATAATTCCCTACGTGCTACACAATTTATATGGGGAGCAGCACATCCTGGGAGCAGCCCATGATTTTGAGTCAGGAGTAAGGACACACCTTCCTCTGCCATCTGAGCTGGCCACATTCAAACATACCTCCTGAGGTGACTCACCAGAGCAACTGCTGATCAAACACTGAGCCCACAGCGGAGCTGCTCAAACACGGAACCGGCACCTGGGAGACTACCTGGCACATCCTGCTTGGGATGAAGCACAGGCAGCACTGGCATTCAGGTCACAGAAGGCACATTCTGTCTGCAGGCTGAGGAGAAAAGGCTTATGTTGGCAAAAAGATGATGAGGTCTGTTTTAAACAGTGCTCTCTCTCCCCAGTGGAATCGCTGCTCCTGAGCTGAGCGCTGCGGGAGGAAGGCAGACCAGACTGAGGAGGGATCCAGACCACACACCATTCCCTCTGGACCTTTTGGGAATGCCTGTCTTATTTGGAAAGCCTGGCCATATTCCTCCCTGCCCTGCTTGGGAAGGAAAGAGCTGGTCAACACAGACACATCTCTAACAACCAGAACAGCCCTTGCCTGCAAACACACTTTCTCTGGCTCGCCCAGCCAGCAGCAACCAGCCATTGAGACAGAAACCAATCTCTACACCCACAGAATCAAAACCAAGAGTGTGGGTGAAGGTGGATTGGGGTTTGCTCTTCGCAACCTGCCTCCATCTGTTGACACTGGAAAAAAAACCAAACAATGGCCTGCTTTTCTTGAGCGGTACTGGCAAGAGCTGAAGTTGTCAGAGCACCTGACACGCCGCTGCCACCAAAATTAGCAGAAGAACCCACATCCCTGGACAATTCTGAAAGGCTCAGCACAGTACCTTACAACATCACCGAGCTGCCATCAGCATGTCACAACAGGGGAGAGCTTGGAGCCCTGAATACAATGTGGCACTTGAAATCTCAAGTTGTGTAATCTGCTCTAACCAGGAACCAAAAATGATTCAGCAACTTCAAACGAAACAGCTCTTAATTTTTCATGAAAGGCTGTTAAAGCCATTATATAGGACCATCCACGATTTAACAGCTAATGAGATGCAGCCTCCAGGATATGGACTTAAAAATAATTATCAGAAGCAAATCATACAGAATGGGAGTGGATGCTCATCACAATTCCTTTCTCTTTGGCGCTGCAAAGACATTAAATCATCCACCACAGCCCGATAAAACCGACATCCAGACAGATTTAAAAAATAAAGTGCTGTTGTCTGCCAGCTCCCAGTTACAGGATTCTTTGGTATCTTATATCCTGTAATAACAGTGGTCACAGACAGCACCAAACTAGTTGTCAGACAGCTCTGAGGAGCCCAAGGCTCTCAGAATTACCCAAGAGTGAAGGCAGGTCACAAAGATGACAATACAGTTTATTACTCAAGCTTTCCTCCTTGTGAAAATGTGTCTGATCTGAAAATCGAATTGGCATAAGAGTTGAGAGAGAGCCAGGACTAACCACAAACAGGGAGTGAGGCTGTATTTCAACAACTACATTTACATGGAATAATTAAAAGAAAAATTCACCCTCTACTTCTTCCTACTGCGTATTCACAGATAAAGGGATGGACTCAGGGACACACATGCGGGATGTCCCACATGGTTTAAAAGCTTTGGCACCAGTCCCCTACTTTGCAGGTACCACCCCAAAAGCCACCAGCAAGCCACTTCTTGGACATCCAACTGGAGATGGGAACAGAGGTCTCCATTTCAGAGGATCGGTGTAGAGCGCTTTCCAAATAAACGAGTTTCAACATAAAGAAAACCCACGGCAGCTTGCCAAGAAAGTGAGCTCCCCAAACAGCAAGGAAATAAAAAAGACAAGCACAGGGGGAGTTTTGTCTCTTGGAGCAGCTGCAGGTGTAACATGGTCATGTTTGGTACCTTACGGTCTCTGAACCCCGAACGTTTCTTCTTCTTCCCTTCCGGTTGTGCCTCCTCATCGCCCGAAGCAACCGCCTTCCTGCCCTCGCTGCTGCTCTCCTCCTCCTCCTCCTCGTGCTTCACCTTCTCCCCTGGCTCTGCCCTCGGGCCGTGCTTTACAGAGGAAGAGTCTTCTGCGTAGGCCCTGCATGGGGGGAAAGAAAACATCAGGTCAGGGAACGATTGAGAGTTACACAGATGCTCCTGCCAGGCTCCACCTGAACGGAACACTGGTCAGACTTCAGCGTGGGACTGCAAAGAAGGGATCAGTCCCCTTTGGGAATCCCTCACAGGAATACCCTGTGCTGTCACCCGTTGTAATCAAATCTCCACCCCGCACCAAAACCCAAAATAATAATGCCAGTACGTTTTCCCAGTCCAAGAAGGCCAGAGCAAATCACTCCGTGAATTATTGCGCCCTCTCCCAAAAACTACACAGGCAAGAAACACTGGGAAGGGCATATCATGCTCCCTCTGGCACTGAGTTCTACCTCTGCTTCCCCCCAGAAGATGCACAAAGTGATAGCAGTGTGTTTTACCACCAGCACTGCAGGATTCAGGAGGAACAGCACTTTTGTTTCAGCTCAGCTGATTTATTTTCTATCTCCAGCGCTTGACAGGTTGTTTTATTTCCTTCTTCCACCAATGACTCTTCTAAACCCCAGTACTACAGGATTTGTGACAACAAAACTGGAGTTGTTTATCCTCAAGGTGGAAATAAAACTGGCAGAGCACAGGACCCCTTTTTCCCTTGCTGTTCAAACACAAAGATCTTCAGGCAACTCTGTTCATAGACCAAGACTCAACACTCAAAATCACTCAAAGTCAGGAGCAACTCCCAGAACTGCAACTGGCAACAGGGTGATTAAATAAAAAGCAGGATAAATCCCTAAGCCAAACAATGCTCTGGTTTTCCTATGCTTTACTTGTAAAGCAGTTTAGAACCAGCCAGAGCTCAGGCCACATCACCATCAGTGAAATTATAATCTCTGAGGATCTGTTAACATGTCACAAGTAACAAAGCCAACAGTTTGACAAAATTATTTCTCTTTCTAAAAGTCTCAACCAGCTCAGGGAAACATCCCAGCCTGCCTGTAATTTAAGCAAAGCTGCATTTACTTTGCATTCCTGGTGATTTATTTTGGACTAATCACAGTGTATGGGGCTCACACGCAGTGAGGTGCCTCTCCTAAGCCACTCTGGTACTCCCTGAAACTGTGAACATGGTCATTTACAGCTGTGTGAGTTTATTCCAAAAGGGCTGCCTTGGGAGAAAAACAAAATCAATCCAAGTTTTTTTTTTTTCAAGTCTCCCAAGCTCTAAGCAAAAGGCTACACATATTTCATCCTACCAGTTTCCTGGAAAACACAGATGTGGTATGTAAAATGAACAGAAAACAGTCTGTGTCTGTCTCCCCAGCAATCACAGAATCATGGAATGGTTTGGGTTGGAAGGGACCTTAAAGATCCCATGGGCAGGGACACCTTCCCACAGCTCGCAGCAATCTCAGCACATCAGGTTCCAAGAAGGAGAAATTATGGTAGGTGCTCCTCCAATGAATTTAAATGCTACCAAAATAAAAGAAAACTCACTCCTTTCCAGCATCCAATTGTTAATTCATTAACAGTCACAGTACTGGTGGGAAGCAAACCCTTTAATACTCATGGAATGGTTTGGATCCGAAGGGATCGGCTCAAATAGGGGTTCAGAGGTTTCTAGTCCACACTGGGCCAGAAAACAGCTCCATCACAAGGGTTTGATGTAATAAACTACATTAGTGCTGGGTGAAGAGCAGTACTAATCCTGCCTTTTCCAAAGAAATGGAGTCTTACACACCAGCCTTTCCTTCCTGAAAAGGTCCTGAGCCTCAATTTGCCAATATATTTCTGTAAGTCTCATGGCAAAGCACCACCTTTAAGACATCCACTGAACCAGACTTCCAGAGACAGGATCCAAACCTGGATCCTCCACAAGTATCCTAAGACAGGGAAATTATTCCCCCAGAAGAGTCAGGCAGCTGATCTGTCTCAGGGAGAATGAAGTTCACGCTGGCACCTCTCCTGAAGCCTTTCCTGAAAGTTTAATCAGCACTGGCACATCCTTCAGGAGCTGTGGCTTTGGCTGATACACAGTTTGTTGGAATAAGCTGTTGCCAGCTGAGGCTACACCAGCAGCACTGCCATGGAAAGCCCTTGTGCAGGGAGGACACCGATCTCAAGCAGCTCTGAGGGAAGAGGGGACAGAAAAGCAATAGAAAAATCAATTGCTTATCTACACAACCAAGCTATTCCACACAGAACGTGCTGAGAAGCTGTATCAGGAAAGATCTGCTCCTGTAATGCTGGAGTGACAGCTAGCAAACCATGGGAAGGGATAGATGGAATTGAAAATCAAACATTTTCAGCAAATCCTACGCATTCCTTCAATCCATCACTCTGTCAAGCCACTTGGCTGCAGCAATACAGACGTAGGCTGTTTGAGTACAGTCAGCTTTTTCCCCCCTCTGGTTTATCCAGGTAATTAACTCTGCTCTACAGTCACATCACCATCCCAACACACTGAAAATGAGCTCTGAGAATCAAGGCTGAGCTTGTAGGCTACTGCTCAAACAAGGTTTTAACCAGCTATTCCTCACCTCCAGGCCAGAGTCCAAACTGCTCACTGAACTAACCACTGAAGGAGCTGCCCTCTGTGTACCTACTACTCTGTGTATTTTACAACCTGCACCACCAGCCTCTGTTGAAATCCCTGGTTTCCAACAAGTGCAGCTTCTATCCTGTGCCCACATAAAGTCTTCCAATGCAGATGTCAGAGTAAGGCTGGAAAAGAGCCCACGGCTCCAGAAATATCCACCCTGCTGGACTTCCATCAGCAAGCGAAGACTCTCCACCTCCTTTCTTTGATGAGGCTGACTTTCCAATGGAATTCCTGGTGCTACAGCTTCTGCACAAGAGGGAAGTGGAAATACAAAGAGTCCCTTCACTGTGTGCCAAGAGCAGCTGCCAGCCTCTCCCCACGGAGCGTGCCTGCCCTGGATCCTGAATCCCACTGCCAAGCTTCAGCCATCCTGGTCTCTTCAGGTCCTCCCCCTCCCTCAGGGAACTGAACTTGAACTGCAGCCCATTCCCCATCCACTTTGCAATATCTTCTTTAAATCCTTGGAGAAAACCAACAATGATTAGGTTCATCATCCCCGCCAAAACACACACAGGACTACAGTGCTAAACTCTCACTTAGCAAATCATTCTGTAAGAAAGGCAGGAACGTGCAACCATAGGATGTACATCCACAAAGGATCCTGGGGCTCACACCAGGCACTGGCACAACACTCCACAGCTGCAGGTCTTCCAGTCAGAGAAATCCCAACCCCTCGCTTGAAAGGATTTTTCTCCTTTGAATGACAGAAGCAGAGCAGCATGCAAACAAATCACAGAGCTCTGTGGCAGAGACAACAGTGCAGGGGAAAAGTACTCAGCTATCAGTTGCTGTTCAGTCTCAGAAGGAAATGTAGGAGATCTAACAACAAACTGGGCACCTAGGAGTCAGCAAAGCCACTGCCACCAAACAAGAAACAGGAGGGAGGAATTTTGCCTGACATATGTGTTCCTCAGTTGACTCAGAGTTGCCACTCTCCCTGTTATGTAAACATCTGGAGACGTCCAAGCGAGGTTTAAAAGCCACTTAGGACTTCAGGGCTTTCATGTCGAAATGCAGAAGCAAGTTTGGACACTACATTCACAAAAACAGGCAACCTCCAGAGATCAGGAGAACTTTCAGTGAGGAGCTCTGTCTCATCCTCAGCTCAGCCATATTCAGCGACCAAATTATCTGCCTGAAACTTTAATAAGACATGAAACAGAAATTATGATGAACCAACCACCTCATTTTTCAGGGTGTCACCCCACTGACAGGACTCTTGACTATTTTGCTTCCCCCCTCACCTTTCATGTACTCAACACCGATAAAAATTGTCACAATGAATTTGTGGCAAGAACTGCAATGAACACATCAAAATTAAAATCATTCCGGAGATGAACACGAACAATTAGATTGAGGAGACTGCTCTGGATACCAGCCATAGCCTAAAATAGGCCCAAGAACATAAGGAGACAGCAGTGTAGTCCTTGAGATGCTCACATCCTTCCTTCTACCCCAGCCAGCAGCAGGAACATCCCCACAGAAAGTGCCTTCAGCCACTGACATGCACTCCAAGGAAGAGCCGGACCAGCTGGAGAAGGTCCAACAGGGAACAGCAGGAATGGTTAAGGGTCCAGAACAAACTAGGGGAAAAACTGACCTAAATAAGCCAGATTGCTCCAAGAAAGATGGAAAAGAGGAAGGTGAGTAACTGTAATTTCAATAAAACAGCTGCTGTGGGACTGTTCTCTTGGTCCCGCGAGGACAGGACAAGAGGCAGGACATGCTTAAGGACATCATGAGGGAAGAGATATACACACTGGGAAAGGGGGAGAAGCCTGTGCATCCATTCACATATACACACCCCTATATGTATGCAGAAAGCATTTAATGCTGAGAAGGGGGGAACACTGGAACCAGCTGCCAGGGAGGATTTATTCCATCGCTGCTCCCTCCATCACCAGCAAATTGCTATGAACAGGTGGGACAGCTGCCTGGCAGGACCGGCTTGGAGGCCCCCAGCCCTGCCCTGGCAGCAGACCAGCCCACTTCTCCCACTCCCCTCCACCACAGCCCAGTTTAGGCAGCAGCAGGTGGGCAGGAGGAGCTCTGCTCCAGCCCCCCAAGGGCACCAGCTCTGAAGAAGGTGAAGCTGATTGTTTTAGGTCAGTCTCACCTGAGATAACACTCTGCTCCTTAGAGCTGGCTCCCTGATAGCCTGCAGAGGAAAACAGCTGCTTCACAAAGGCTGTCAGCCCTAAGGACACACACTGGAGGCATCCTGACATCACCCCAACATCCTTGCAAACCGTAAATCTGTCACTTAATCCAGGAGACGCTGCTTTCATTTCCAAACAGAGCTCACCACAGCGGGGCCATGCCCCCAGCATCTGATTCTTTCCTTTCCCAATGCCCATGGAAAAAAACCAATATGAAGCCAAAAGCCACCTGTTCTTTAAAGACACCACTCTTGGATCGATGTGCCTTGAAGCCTTAGGGAAAAAAACCCTCAGCACAGCAATCCTAAGGACAGTCTCCTGAGTCTGTCACCTTTCAGGAAGAATTAAAAAAATAAATCATAGAATCACACAATGGTTGGGGTTGGAGGGGACCTTAAAGATCATCTAGTTCCAACCCCCTGCCATGCAGCAGAGGTCTAAAAATAAAAATAATCTCGCATGGATAATACCTCCAATTTTTCATCTTTTCTCTCCTACATTAGGTTAAGTAGTACCTGACACATCTACAGCTATAAAACAGGTTTCTCCCCTCCTGACTGTGATTTATGTGGTTTCCTTTGTTTTACTAGAACAAAGATTTTTAAAGTCTCAGTTTCAGCTGGCATAAGATATTTCCAGCAATTCTGCCATTAAAAATGTATTCTAAGCAAATTACTCTAAAGCCTCAAGGACACTGATACAAAAAAGCAATGCATTCTTAAGCAGAGTTAGAGAATCCTAAAATGGTTTGGGTTGGAAGGGACCTTAAAGCTCATCCAGTGCCACCCCCTGCCATGGGCAGGGACACCTTCCACCAGCTCAGGTTGCTCCAAGCCCCGTCCAACCTGGCCTTGGACACTTCCAGGGATGGGGCAGCCACAGCTTCTCTGGGCAACCTGTGCCAGGGCCTGCCCACCCTCCCAGGGGAGAATTCCTTCCCAATATCCCATCTAACCCTGCCCTCTGGCAGTGGGAAGCCATTCCCCCTTGTCCTGTCCCTCCACCCCTTATCCCCAGTCCCTCTCCAGCTCTCCTGGAGCCCCTTTAGGCACTGGAAGGGGCTCTCAGGTCTCCCTGGATCCTTCTCTTCTCCAGGTGAACCCCCCCCAGCTCTCCCAGCCTGGCTCCAGAGCAGAGGGGCTGCAACACTTACGAGTCAGCTACACAGCTAAGGGCTGATTTAGCCTTCAAAATTCATTCCAGAAGTGTCAGTGAAGTAAAACCAAATACAAAAAGCCACGATGGTCATCAGAGCAAGAAAGACAAAAGGTCTTTCCTGCAGCAGAACCTCCAGTAAAGCAGCAGGGCACTGGAACACAGGATGGCCAAAGGAGAGAGGGATGGAGGAAGAGAGGAAGACACAAATACTTTGGTAGGAAAGGAACTCATTGTTAAGTAACTTCCAGAGCAACACAAGTGTCTTGCCTTTATTCTTACCAGTAATATTTTCACAGAATTTATAAGAAATTAAACTAAACATTAAAATAAACTAAATACTTCCAGTCCCTCAGGAAGAACACTGGTAAGACTCTGCTTACAGAGGTCCTTCTGGGCCTTTGCTTCCTGGTTTCACTCAATACCAGATTGATCAACCAGCTTCAGCACTGAAATGCCCACAGATTCAGCCAGGAAGGGTTGTGACATAAATATCTACAGCCATTTCACAACATTCCAAAGGGGCTTTAGGAGCTACAGAGTACAAGTTTTACATGAGGATCACTAACACAATATTTTTTACAAACATTGAACCTGCCACAAACTGTGAGGTTCAGTACTTGTCATACATTAGTGCCTCATTTAGACTGGCCAATGACTGCACCAAGATTTATTTCAATTAATTAATTCAGTTCCTTATACCAGTGCCCACATACCTAATTGCTTTTACTGCCAGCTGGAAATCCTCAGAGTGTAAGTTATTGCTGAGGAAGGGCGAACTCCATTAGTCTTGTGAGCTCAGCTATTTGCACTGCTCAAGCATTCCTTGCCACGGGAAAAGGGAGCAGCATTAGCTACCCCTGTTGCATAATTATTCAGATTGCCCCAAAAGGCAGCCAGCAGGGTTTCCTGGAGGAAAAGGATGGCAACAAAACCTTGCCTGCCATGAACCAAACACGAAGATCCCACTGAACCACCTCCCATCTCAGGAAGGCCTGAATTAATCTGTCCTATCTTGCACCATCCAACAACCCATATATGGATTTTTCCATATATATCTTCTCAGGCCTTGATTTCTCCTCCACCTTTGCGTGGGCTTCCTTACCCCAGCACTGGCTTTTGCTGCTGTTCCTCCCACATCCTACAAGAATCCATGAGGACCACACTGGTTCCAGGCTGCACGTGCCAGTCCCCACCTGAGAAGTCCTGTCTTCCCTTCACACCAAACAGTGCAAAGGGTAAGTTCCTATATGGGCACCACCCCACTAATCCAATTAGCAAGGTTCACCATCATCAGAAGCATGAGAAGTCTGGTTTGAAACAAAAAGTTTGGGTATTTTTGAGCACTGAGAGGGGCAGTGCTGCTCCCCACGTGCCAGCAGAGAAGAGCTGTGGCGTTTACACACAAGGCTTTATGCAGATGACAAAAAGGAAATACAAGTCAGACTTCTTTCCCTTTAATTACTGCTCTTCCTCTAGCACTGCATCATCTTCTACTTATCTGGCCCAAGAAACATGAAATATTCAACTGCTTCTTGATTTGGCCTATTACACCTTTACTATAAAGAAATATTCACATATTTACCTCTTAAAACTAAGCAGGTACAGGAAGTAGCAGTAACTCAGAATGTAACTACCTGAGTAACTCAGGATGTCATTACAAACATCCTGTATTCACTCATGACTATACTTAAACTCCACTAATCACCTAATTTATACATTGGGAAAGACAAAGGAAATTTGCAATTCATGCCTCATTTCTTTAAACAAGGATAAAATGCCGACTCAAAAGTCCATTTAAAACCTCTGCAGGTGTCAACGTGAAGAATTTTCTACATCAACATATCAGTTTTGTTCCTCCTCTTATTCATGCCAAGTAATTAAATTAATACTGTAAGCTTGGGTGCACTTTTATTTTACAGTTGCCAACACAGTGGATTTATTATTTCATGGCTCATACAGGAAAGGAATACTTGAAAATCTGTACAATTCTATTTAGTGCTTTACAGATTTATAAAGATAAAGGAGATAGAGAAAGGAAAAGCAAATAATAACGGTAAGTCAATCTCTCCAGATTGATAAGGACTGTCAGCTTTTAGCTGAGCGAGGTCAAGTCAGGTCAGTGCTCAGGGTCCTCCAAGGAAGAGTCAAATACTCCAGGAGCCAAAAAACCCTCCCTGAAAACACCCTGAGCTAGCACTGCACACACCACCAGCAGCTCTTTGCTGCAGAAACACCTTCCTCCTGATAAAATCATCACTTAAAACATGGTTCTAAAAGCAGGAGGGGTCGTGCTACAGGAGGGAATTTATTAACTCCGTGCCCCTGGGACAGCTTTACGTAGAACATGATGTCCTACCTACTTCATGATCATGCTGAGGGTGTTTTAAGTGGAAAAACCCTGCTGGAAAAGGGGTGTTACCCTGCCCGTTCCCACAGAGGCACTCTGGGGATAAAGAGGTACTGCACCAGTGCAGGTCATTAGCAAACACAGCATAAAACTGTGCTGGATCACTGTGTTCTCCCTCTGTCCGAGCAACTCCTTTCAGCAGATACCCGGGTTTGACAGCTCCAGGAACAGCCAGAATGGCTCCCCATCCTCTTTCTCTTGCTGCATTAAAACCAGAGCCTCGAGGTGAGCAGAGAGCCAACACCAAAGAATACGAGAAGAAAAACAACACACCCTTTCAGCAAACACTTTATTCTTAGACTCTAAGTGCAGTCACGTGCTTGAGTGACACTGCTGGTGCCACGCTGCTCCCACGAGGGCAGAGAAGGGAGTCCCTGATTTATTTCCAACGTGGCACAGGTTCAATGGGGGGGTCACCTCACCTCACCAAATATCCCCTTTCTCCACACAGTTATGAAAACAAGTTCTGAGCCTCATAGCCCATGAGTAGGTGTCCTCAGACTTTGAATCCACGTAAAACCTGTGTGCTGCTGCCTTCCCGTCCCCCTCAGCTCCCCTGCTGTGTGTTATATATGAAGCAAGCAGTCAGCAGAACACACCAAAAACGAGAGCAGCAAACCCTGGCCAGGTGTGCTCTTCAAACAGCCCCCCCAGGAGCTGTGCAGGCACAAAGGTTTCTCCCTGTACAACACCACAAACCACCACAGGGGGGGAAACCAGGCAGGAAACCTCAGCCAGGGCAAGCAGCCCGCGTGAGCAAACACCTCCGCCCCGAGCTTTGCCACATCTCTCACTACACCCAACAGCAAACCAGCTCCACGGGGAACCCCTGACAGCCACTCCTTCCACACAGCAGAAGCAGGACAAGCAATATTAGAAAGCATCCAAAGGAGGATGGGGAAGGGCCTTGAGGGGAAGCCGTGTGAGGAGCGGCTGAGGGCACTTGGTGTGTTCAGCTGGAGAAGGAGAGAGTGATGAGAGCTCGCTGCAGTTACAGCTTCCTGGGAAGGGGAAGAGGAGGGGCAGGCCCTGAGCTCTGCTCTGTGGGGGTGGCCTGGAGTTGTGTCAGGAGAGGTTCAGGCTGATCTTAGAAAGAGGTTCTTGGGCACTGAGCAGTCCCCGCAGGGTAGTGGGCACAGCACCAAGGCTGCCAGAGCTCCAGGAGTGCTTGGATGATCCTCTCGGGCACAGGGTGTGACTCCTGGGGACAGGCCTGCGCAGGGCTGAGGGCTGGACTCGATGACCCTTGGTGGGTCCCTCCCAACTCGGCATATTCCATGATTCTGTGAGTAATGCAAATTCTGCAAAGCCTCCCCACAGGCAAAAAAAATTAATTCAATATACATTTGTTACCTCTGCCAGAGGAACCTGGCGCTGGCTGTGGCTGCAGTCGTGCCGATGAAAGCTGCCAGCACGAGCCTACGCCTGGCGCCGGGGTGCTGGGCTGTGCTGTGGTAACGCCGCGACACGGCCGCCAGCCCCGCGGCCACGGGGAGCAACCGGAGCCGGAGCATCCTGCAAGGGACACAGAGCGGGGAAGGGGTTGAGAATCAGGAAAGCAAGACAAGGTTTGCAGTGTGGACTCTCCTAAAAAAAAGAATCGGAAGAGTTTCAGGGAGTAACTGTCACGGGTGTTTGTGAGCTGTTCTGAAATAGGCAGGTAATTTAATGAACGGCCAAGTATGAGGGTCAGGTGTTGGCACACGTCCCCACTACTTACCAGCATTATTCAAATTATTCCTCCTCAGCCCTTCCCCAGCACAGCTCACCCAGAGGGAATCTCTCTTGCCCACAGAGGTTGTGGCTGCCCCTGGATCCCTGGAAGTGTCCAAGGCCAGGTTGGACGGGGCTTGGAGCACCCTGGGCTAGAGGAAGGTGTCCCTGCCTGTGGCAGGGGATGGGATTGGATGAGTATAAGATCTCTTCCAACCTAAACCCTTCCATGATGCCATGAAGTATTTTCAGTCTCTCTCTAGTGCCAAGGCATGGAGGATGCAGATAAACCTGACAAGCAACTACAGCAGATAAGAGCCATTTGGCCAGAGGAAAAGCCACAGATGGATTTTAAAAGGCAAATTAAGCCAAATAACAAGCAAACCTACCTAGCAAAACCCAACCCAGGCATTTTAAACCTCCCTAAGAAAACCCTACTGTCCCTGAATCGCTCTTTTAGCTTGCCTGGAGCGAAACATTTATATTCAACTGTAAGTACAAGGCAAGTTTCAAAGTGTCAAAACTTGTAAAGTACAATCCATATCCCGGAACAGAGACAAATGGGAAACCAGAGCTACAAATCTAAACATAATTACAATGGGGAAATCAGAACCGCAGAAATGTCACCTCAGCACACACCAGCTGCAGGAGGCAAAGCAATTTTGGTTGCTCAGAAGAGGGTAAAACGATGCCTTTGAAAAGAAAATGTGCTGCATCCTTTAGTGAAATAAAGGGTTTATTTCTAACTGAGGCAAATTCAATTTTTCCAACCGTGGGGGTCAGCCTTCAGATTGGGAACAGGATGGTAAAGGAATTCCTAAGGCCAGCAAAAACACAGAGAAGAGGAGCAGTAGCCCAATATTTTCCTTTTATTCCCTGTTGCTGCCATTCTACTTGCACATTCCCAGCCAGCAAATAACCACTGAATACAAAAATCAAGTCAGTTCTATTGGTTCCCATTTGCTTTAGCAAAGCCACCGGTTGTCTGTCCTTCCCCACACCACAAACTTGGTTGGGCACACACCACAAACTCTGGTACTCAACAGCAAGTCCACCTGAACAGCATCCATTTGATACCCACCTGTGCACTTCTTAAAATCATTTTGTTTGCTCTTCTTAAATAAACAGGTTTAAAATTCAAGTTTTAATGGAACACAGCCAGCTAACGGTGCTTATCCTCCAATCTTCTCCAGCCCTGAACAACAGGAGATCGTTATGAAAAAAACATCTCTCATTTCAAATTTAAAATTATCTCCACTCTGCGCAAACCTGATGTTCCCGTTTCTTCTCCAGGGATGAATTCCTGTCACACATGCAGAGAAAAATCTGCATGTGTTACTTTCCCCAAGAAGTTATTGCTGCCTTTACTTGGGTTCCCCATCCTAATTACAGCTTTATATTCCTGAGGTGTATTGGATGAGGGAAGTGTTGCCAGCACCATTTAATCAGCCAAAATGAAAACCAAGCCCCACAGCGCTCACTTTTGAGCTTGAAGAGATTTTTACAACATTTCAGATTGTTGGTTTTAGTACTGAATAAATGTTTACTCTGCCTGAGCCTTAAGAAACACTGAATTATCCGCTTTTGTCCAAAGGTAATCTCCATCCCTGATTGTGCTGGGACGTTCACCCAAACAATGCTCACTTGGTACCAACTGCCTGAGAGAGCTGAAAGAGGCAGTTCCCATATCAACCCTAAATTAAAAAGCATCCTTATCTCAGAACAATTAAAAAACCCAAAACCCTTTGGAAGCTGATTTTTCCATGCTTTCCACCTGCAATTTTTACAATGCTTCCCAATTTTCTTTTCTTTTTTTTTTTAAATCAAAAGCACCCCAATATTTGGCATGCTTGGTTAAAAGCTCCAGGCATTTAAGTCAAGAGCACTCAGGAAAGCTGGTGTTCACTTTTGAAAAGATCAAAAATAAGCATCTTGCCCTGAGTGCAGCAATGAAGAGCTCAGTGCCATGACCTGCAGAAGAGTAAGGAATAAAACTGAGATCAAGTACAAAACTCCCATGAACTGATGTGATTACAGCCTCCAAAAAGAAACCACCTCAATTCCTGTATGATTTAATGTAATAAACCAGTCATTTTTATAGGGTACAACAAAGTAACCCAGAGGGAAAAAACCCAACCACTGAACTCCAAAATAATGAAAATAAGCAAACATAAAAGTTATCACAATGTTCTAATGCTGCTGCTGCTACAGGGAATCTGTTTTATTTCCAAGAGATAAGCCTGCCCTTATCTTAAATTCTTGCTCAGAACAGCCCTACAGTTACTTTCAGAGATTGAATTTAATATCATTGGACAAAAGAAGTAGTTGGGGCTTTTTTTCCAGAAGAGAATGACCCATCTGCTTTTATTTATGCCACAATATATTGGTGTTTTGTTGTGTTATGGTTTGTTTTTTTTAAAGCAGAAGAGTCAACTGCCAGACTCAAACCCATGGGGAAAACACCACTCCCAACCCAAGACACGGCAAATTCCACTCAAACTGAGACCATCCAGATCACTTGGGAAAAAGAAATGCAAATTATTTCAACAGTTACATCCATTCTGGCTTGGTGGGGATATCTGATTCCCCCAAACAATGATCCTCTGTCTGCTGGGTATCCCCCCAGCACTGAACCTTTTGCAGCCCTTTTTGGGGATCCAGAATAGATGAAACACATTTAAAGCAGTGTTTTGAAGTCAAAACTGGCCTCAGTAGCATAAGCATGTGAGAGGGAGAACAGTAATTAAATAAGCTGCTGGGTGTTTAATTTTTAATCAGACAAGGGTTCAGAGGCACTTTTTATTTGAACAATTTTACCAGGACACGGTAAGCTCGGGCATCAGTGACATTGAAATGTCAATTGTAAATTTAAATTAAAAACACTGTAATGCAGTAGGACCTTCTAAAAAGAAAAAAAAAATGCATTCAGGAGGCACTACTTGGGCATAAGAACTCCTGCAGGGATGGAGTCACTAAGAACTTAACAGAATTAAAATGTGGGGGAGGAAGCACAACAAATCCAAAGGGAAGGAAAAGTCAAGGTACAAGGCAAAAAAGGCTGAAGTAATCAGGAGAGAAATTTCACTGTTAACACGAGGCATAGTTAAAATAACCTGAGACACATAAACCAGGGAGAGGGGGAAAACCCCACAGGAAAAAAAACCCTGTCTCCACCAATGTTACTAATTATTAATTCTCCTCCCCCCAGTTCTCCATACTTTTCATTTACAAACTGGTACCAGTAGGAGAAATTTCCAGGGAAGCTGTGGCTGCCCCATCCCTGGAAGTGTTGGACAGGGCTTGCAGCAGCCTGGGATAGTGGAAGGTGTCCCTGCCCTTCCACTGGAAGGGGGTGGAACCAGATGGTTTTTAAGACCCCTCTCAAGCCAAACCATTCTGATTCCATGACTCCATGAAATTCATAAAAGAGTCATTCCTACAAAAGGTGCCTGGAGGTGACTTCCAGCTCCTGAGGCATCTGAATCCACCCCCTTCCCCTGTCTCCAAGATGGACCAAACCAGTCCTGCTCTTTCCCCCTCCGAATTTTCACCTCACCCAGCGCAATCTTCAGCTGAAGGATTACTCCCATCACTGAAGTTATTAGCCTGCTAAGGTGCATAAATCAGTTTGGGGAATGAAAATGCAAGCCAGCAGAAGCAATTTCTCCTCAGGTAGGAGATTGGGGCAATATTTGATCACATTAATTTGGCTGGAGAGGGGAACCACATTTGTTTCAGAGCACGATTCAAATTGATGTGGAGCCTGTGGAGCATCAGTCAATGCAGAACCTAAGCCATAGCCTGGCAATTTCTTTTCAGCCATCACTGCAGTGAAGTTTCACCCTTTCCTAAAATCCCCAACCCTGAAAATGCTCAATTCCCAACTCCACAGCTCTTTAACTACACCCAGCCATTGGCTCGGCCTCCCCTTGGGGACAAGCGATGACATCCCTCACCTCACAAGCTGCTTTATTCTGCCAAAGAATTTTGCTGATTTTCAGTGCCAAGCAGAAAAGATGTGCTGTGAAGACACACACAAGCTTTTTGATTCGGCTTTAACAAAAGAATTATTAGCAATTGCAACTGGATTATTTATAAGAGTGCAGCTCAGGAGCTACCTTGGGCTTGGTCTTCCCTTGAAAGGGAGGCAGGAGCAGAGAGTGGATGCAGGAGGGGGGATGGATGCAGCCATCACCAACTGCAGCTTTTGGGAAACAAATGAAAAACAAGTGCACCCAAACAGAATAAACAGGTTCCATCTGTTGCAGCAGCACTGAAATAGCACCTTCAGCAAAGCATTTGCTTGCTGCTTCAGACAGTCAGACTCCAGCAATGCACAGTGGGTTTTTAAGGGGCAGCTATAAACTTCCACAGAAATTAATGCCAAATGCTGCTTTTTCCTGGTTAAAGCTTTCCTTTCCCTTCCTCCACCCATCCTTGGACTTTTCTACCTAGAAAACATTACAGGAAAGCCCAACCCTGACAAACTCCACAGCAGCATCCCTATAGAAGTCAGAGGTAAATGGTGAAGCTGCAAAAGCAAAAACCAACCAAAAAAACTTCTCACCCTTATCAAGGGTAAAGACCCTGTTTCATGGCCTACTTCCACCTTAACCAGCCCAAGGGGAAGTTTTCTTTTTCCAGTCACTATTCCCAAATAATCAAGCTGACTTTGCAAACCAGCCCCACAAGCAGCTGCACCAGAGCAGAGGCATTTTTGCACCACTTTGAGGAGCAAGGGTTTGTCAGAGAATCGTTGGCAGAGGGAGAGAAACACATAACACTGCTGCCTTTTCCTGCAGGAAGTTCCAGCCAGTAGGAATACATCTGCTTAATGACCTGAGTGATTTAACTTGCCTTGCAGAACCTGTGGCCGTGAGATGTGGTTTTCCTGAGAATTCCTAACTTTTGCACCTAATGAAAGCCTCTCCTTAAAGCTCCTGCACCTACCTGTGTGTACCTGACAACAAACAAATAGAGCAGTTACATTTGAGAAATGTTTCTGGCTTATTTGGCTCCAAAAAAACCCCAAACAAACAACAAAACAAACACAAAAAAGCAAACAAACTGGTGTTGATTCCTAATAAATAAATAAATAAACATGTGTTTCACAAGAAAATAATTCTGGGAGAGAAAAAAATTTAAGTAGTCTGAGAAGAAAGCAAAAGCCTCTTTAGGCTGCCAGGGTGACAATTTGAGTTATCTGCAGACAAAAGAGAGAGATAAATGTCTTTTTGGAGGTAGGCAGGCAGCAGAGCATTTCAGAATTTGATATGGTGAAGTCTGGAGTCCTCTCTGATAAGAGACGACCTTTTAAACAGAAACATCACCCACCCCAACCACGGCACTTCCTCCTGCAGAAAACACCTCTCCTGCCCCAAGAGCCAGAGAAACTGGAAATGAAAAAACCTACAGAAGCAAACAGAATATCCACACCACCTGTCTTTCATCTACCAGACAGATGGTGATTGCTTGGGAATCCAGGAGAAGAGCAAAGTGGTTATTCTCCCCCCAAAAAAGGAAAAGCAAGTCTGAACCGCCGCAATTGTTTTCCCAGCGACACATTATTGGATTAGCCTGAACTTCAGAGAGGAAAAAAGAACATGGATAAGCTTGGCTAGTGCCTTGTGCTTTTAGAACACGACCTGAGGAGCTCAGTTTCAGCAGGAAAAAGCCAGCAGTCAACCCTTGGCTCCATCCAAGGTGGGCAGGCAGACACAGCACACCTTGGGTACCGCATCAGAGCTGAGATTTCAGTGGCAAAAAAAACCCACAACTGCTCTCACAGCTCCTGAAGCAAAACTGCCAGAGGTGGAAAGTTTACATCAAGCTGATGAAAACACAGCTGGTCAAGTGGTGGCACAGACCCCACACTGATGGGTCTGTGTCACCAGGGCAGCTCTGCCTCGCAGACAAATTATGGAGCCCCACAGACTCACGGGGCTCATATTTCGAGCACAGGTCAGCTGCCCCTCTCAAACCACGACCTTCTTTCTTCTTGTCTGCGTGAGGATCTCAGGTTTCACTTCAAAGGTAAGAGAAACAACTAAGAATTTTAGCTTGACAGACCCTGAAGACTCAGGAAGAAAAAGCCCACCCCAGACAAATTGGCTTTTTTTCTGTGTAAAAAACACAACGTAAAAACCAGTTTACTTGAAGGCACTGATTTGTTTTGTTGTTGGGGGGGGGGGCAGAGGACGGGTGACAAGTTGTCACAGGCTGAAGAGACAGAAGGGAGTTGGGAATTCAGTCACGAACCAAAGGCTGGTTCATGCAAAGCATTTCAGGCCACACGTTCCGGCCAGCACAAGCAGCTGGCCTGCCTCCAGCTGCACATTCCCACCTCGTGCCAGGCCCAGCTCAGAATTCCCACTTACAGGGATCAGTGCTTTGGTCCACCCCCACCTTCTCCAGCCCCACATCCACTGGGGAACTCTTCCCGTGGTTGGGACTGCAATTAAAAGCTTCTCTCAGAGGTTAAGTCTGGGATGCAAGGAAGGAAACTCCACTGGAAGGTTCTTTGGGGGAGAAATAAAAAGTGGTCACTGCCCTCACAGACACGGTAGCAGACAAACACAACCCAGAATTTACTACTCAAGGACTTTTCAGGTAACTCTACAGAAAAACAATGCACAATCTGTCACTTTTTCCTCTTTTAAAGTCCCTTAAATCAAAAACTAAGAGGCAAAGCTGCCACAGGCTCTGGATGGTATGTGCTTAGGGAGACAAAGTGCCTCAGGCTCTACTCAGTTGCTACTAAAAGACCTTGTATTTCTTACTTGAAGTGTCAAACAAACACATCACTCTAAAGATAAAGAGTCATCCTCAGCCTTCCAGTACCCACAAAAAAGCAGGAGAGAGACTTCGGACAAGGGCGTGGAGGGACAGGAAAAGGGGGAATGGCTTCCCAGAGGGCAGGGTTAGATGGGATAGTGGAAAAAATTCTTCCCTGTGAGGGTGGTGAGGCCCTGGCACAGGTTGCCCAGAGAAGCTGTGGCTGCCCCATCCCTGGAAGTGTCCAAGGCCAGGTTGGACGGGGCTTGGAGCAACCTGGGCTACTGGAAGGTGTCCCTGCCCATGGCAGGGGGTGGAACTGCGACCCTTCCAACCCAGACCATTCCATGATTCCATGTTTACGAGGAAGACACACTATTTGTAACACACTTTTCCAAAAACAATTCTATTAAAAAAAAAAGGCAACATTCATCTCAAAGGTGTACAATACTCAAAGACCCTGGGTGACTGTCTCCCACTAAATTATCCTAAACAACATGATCCCATCCAAAAATCCCACCTACAACAAGATACTTTTTCACTGACGCTCCTGCAATATCCCAACACAGCACCTGGAATAAACACAAAACCAGTTATTTTTATTGCTGTACACAGGCACCCTCAGCCCCAGTGCACTCAGCTGTGTTAAAATACTGTGCACCAGCATGGCCACTGGGAACTTGGGAAGAATAAAAGGAGGATTTCCACATCCCAGCTCGTTTCAAGAAGTGTTACTGCAGCAAGTGGAACAGCACGAAACAGCGTGTTCTTACAACAAACCTCATGTGTCTGCTACAGAATTTATTTTGCTTTGAGAAATGCAAAAATGAGCGTTTCTACATTCCAGATCTAAACGTGCTGATACCACCTCAAAAAACAACCTGAAATATGGAATGTTTGTGGGATATTGCCTCAAAGCCTTGCTGAGACTTCAAATGATTTGCAAGTCCTGCAAAAGTTTGTCCTGTTAAACTGCCTGAGGACAACTGGATCATCTCTCCTCTAAGCTTCCCCAGGAACCCGCACAGGGTTCCTGTGACACAGAGAATAATGACACACAGGGAAGCTCCAGAGGGTCCCCAGCAGGCAGACAGTAATGACATAAGCAAAACATATCATTCTTTCTCCTCCAGAGCATGGAATTTCAACTTTAGTTCAGGACACGTAATGAAAATAACCAGAGTTTCTGCAGAAAATGGGTCACTGGGAGAACAAGCCACTTCCACGAGTAAACAAAGAGGGGTTACATGAGCTTACCTTCCCACTATCCCAGGTTGCTCCAAGCCCCATCCAACCTGGCCTTGGACACTTCCAGGGATGGGGCAGCCACAGCTTCTCTGTGCCAGGGCCTCCCCACCCTCACAGGGAAAAATTCCTTCCCATTTCCCCACCTAACCCTGCCCTCTGTGTGAGGCTATTAAATGCTCTCTTGCTCCAGATGGACAAGCACACACAGTTTAAGCATCTTTCCTTAGTTCTGGTTGGTGTTTTGGTTGTTTGGGTTTTTTTTGATACCTCCCATGTTCAAGTCTTACTTTTATTGAGTGCACAGAAAGTAATGCAACACATTAAGCAGCACTTCAGTTTTTTTGGTGGGTTTTTTTTTTTTTTAATATTTTATGGAAGCGGCCCAGCTGAGGCTGGGTTGACAGGCAGCTCCAGGCAGATGACTTTTCCCATCAAGCAAGTCAGCACAACTTTCCCCCCTGCAAAAAAGCAACCCATTCCCCTACCACCTCTAGGAAAAAACCCTGAGAGAGCTTCAGGCTCAGCTGTGAGTTGCACCTCCCACCACTCAGCAACACCTTCCTCACCTGTGCCTTATTTGCTCCCAGCTTGCAGGTCAGGAGGTCACAGAGAACACGGAGAATTATTTCTTTGCAGGGTTGTGGTCTGAAAACAAGAAAAAGAAAAGAAATGAAACACGGTGAAGGTTATAACTTTTTGCTGCCAGCCACGTGCTGCACCCAATTTTGCCTCTGCATTTCGGCATTCACCTCAGGAAACGCCTCTCAGCCTGAGCCAAATAAAGCCAGGAGGGGGAAAATGGTCCACAGATGACTGAAGGAATTAAAGACAAGCCAGGCCCATTGCTCAAGTCTGAGCTGGCACTTGTGCTTCTAGAGGAGCAGCCTCTCAAAACGCCGCCTGCTTTGACCTGCCCACCCCTGTTTAGACCCCACTCGATACATTCGGGTTTCCCACCTTTCCCAAGCAGCTCATTAAACCGAAGGCACACACAGAACGCATAAACCCCGCCGCGATAAGGATCAGCCGTTCCTACACTCCCAGCACCCCGTGAACCCAGAGTCACCCCGGAGGGTTCCCCCTCTTCCCCGCACATCAAACACGGCCGGGCCCTTCGGGGGAGTTAAAGCTCCGGCGAACCGCTTTGAGGGCAAAGCGGTTCGGCTTTAGCTCTGCCACAAACTCAACAACCCGAAGCCCGGGGCCGCCGCGGACCCGCCGGGTTTATCCCACAGCGCCGGAGCCACGGAGTTACCGCAGGGCCCGGGGATGGGGAGCCCGGAGCACGGCCCAAAGAGACCCGGAAAAGCCCGGTTTACCGCGGGCGGCAGCTCTGCCTCGGCAGCGGGGGGGCTGGGACTCGCACCCCCGCGGTCCAGGAGCCCGCTCCAGAGCCAGGAATGCCCCTTATCCCGATCCCGGTCCCGCTTCCCGCTCACCTCGGACCCGCGCTCCGCCCGCCGCGCGCGCTTCCGGGGGCGGGGCCGCGCCGGAGGGGCGTGGTCAATGCGGAGAAAGGGGCGTGGTCTGAGCGCGGCGGGCGTGGCCCGGGAGCCGCCGGAACCGGGACGGGGTTTTGGGGTGGAAGGCTCAGGGATCGGCGTGGGTAGGGCCTGGAAGGTTTGTGTGCACCGTGTGAGGAGGGTTACGCTGTGTAGGGGCTGAGGAGATTGGGTATAGGGCCTGAAAGAGCCGCGTGTGCGATCTCAGGGCTTATGTACATATGTGGATTCTGAAAGGTCTGTAATAGGGTCTCAGGGGCCTGTACCTATATATCTATACATCTATATATCTATATATCTATACAACTATATACATCTATACATCTATATATCTAGACATCTATATTTCACATCTGAAAAGTCTGTGTATAGAGTCTCATGGGCCTATATATACATATATATGTGTATATATATATGTTTTGAAAGATCTACGTATAGCATTTCAGGGACCCATTTATATATATAAATATATATATAAAAAATATATATAGGTTCTGAAAGGTCTGTATAAAGGTTCTCAGGGTCCCATATATAGGGTCTCAGGGGTCCATATGCATAATATATATAGATATAACTTCTCAAAGGGTGTATGTAGGCTCTCAAGGCCCCATATCTATAGGCCTTTCAAGGCTTGTGCAAAGGATATAAGGAGCATATTTATAGGTCTGAAGAGCCTGTCTGTAGGGTCCAAAAGTCCTGCAGAGAGGGGCTGAAGGGCTTGTGTGTAGGGTCTGAAAGAGTGGTATATTGGGTCTCAGGGGCTTTATATATATGTTTATATATATATATATATATAAAAAATAATAGAATGTTATGAGGTTGGAATGGACCTTAAAGAGCATCTCGTCCCAACCCCCTGCCACAGGCAGGGACACCTTTCACTATCCCAGGTCACTCAAGACCTGATCCAGCCTGGCCTTGGACACTTCCAGGGATCCAGGGACAGCCACAGCTTCTCTGGGCAGCCTGTTCCACCCTCACAGTAAAGAATCCCTTCCTCCCTCAGGGCCGTGGGTTGGTGTGGCAGCGGCTGGGGCTGTGCCTGGTGCCTCGGGAATGGGATGGCAGTGGGAAGGGAAAGCGAGAAAGGCATGCCTGGATCATGTGCGCCTCGGCATCTAGATCAGAGGGAGGATTCACTGCTGAGGAGGCTAATTTTAGGCATTTTAATTTTAGTTGCTTCCAGATGCCTCTTAGGTTGGCTCTCTACGGGCTTTAATGAACCCCCCGTTAAAAAAACCACGTTTTCTGGAGGCATAAATGGACGGCGATTGCTCTTGAGGAACACAGGAGGCTGCTGGATCCTGCCACTGTGCCCTCCCCCAGCGAGAATGCTGCAGGGACTTTTTAGGATGAACCTTTTGGTGAGGCTTAAGGTGATGCCAGAGGTCTGGAGGAGTCGCTGGGGGGCCGGGGCGCAGCAGGGTCTGGTGATCTCTGGTGGTGACACCGGATCCCAAAGGGGGATCCCAAGCAAACATTGGTGCGTTTGGGTAACTTGGGGCTTATGTCCTAGTCCTGTGATGGGACAGGGATCACCATCCTGCCCAGTCCAGGGACATTTCTCTCCTTATATCCTCTTGCTCCATGAGCAGCTTGGCAGTGCTCAGCTCACAGAAGATGGCCAGCACCATTTCTTTATCAGGTATACTCTGCCCCTCTGTATCAAGGCTGTTATCTGCAGTAACCTGATTGCACCAAGTTTTCCTCTAAATAAAAGGAGGTGAGATGCACTTGGACCTGGAATCCTCCTGCATTTCCTCATCCACCCATGCCTGATGCATCTGCTGGATCTTTCATGTTCATCCGTCTCCATGGGCTGGATTCTGCTGTATCACAGCCCTGGACATCTGTAGGAATAAAACTGGCTAAATCCAGAAAGGAAGTGATGAGTCTGTGGACTAAAACATCATTTGTTTTTTGGGGTGTTTTTTTTTTTTTTTTTTAATTCCTAACTGGCTTATTTAGTCCAAGCACTCTGAGGCTTGAGCAGGTCTTCCAAAGTGTGATGGCTTTGCCTGTGGCTCATCACACACTCACTTTCTCCTAAATCAGTGTTTTATTTGCAGGAGGACAGCATCCATGTCTCCATCAGCAGTGTTGGGGTGGTTGATGGGGGTCTGAAGCTTTAGCTTTCCACTTCAGCCTTTCCCACTGCAATAATATTAATTGCAACACTGGTGTGCTTTTCTGCATCAATTCTTCTCGGGAGCAGCTTTCCAATAATCAGCCAGCTGTAATTAGAGGCACCAGGAGAAAGACTAGTTAAACACACTATTTTATTTTGCTTTTCCAAGAGTGGAAGATGCTTCTAGCAGGGCAGCTGTTCACCCTAAAATGATGGATTTTTATTTTGGTGCCCATATCCTCACCCCTTCTGCTCCCTGTGCCTTGGGGAGCCGTTCCCTGCCGGCTCGTTTGATTGCACAGGGTATTGATCTCAGGGCTCACATTTAACTCCCATTCCTGTGGGTTGTAATGAGTGCCCACGCGCTCAGCAGGGCTTTGCTAATGAATTCTTGGCCTTTCTGCCACCCTCGCCCTTTGCTCACAGCTGGTGTTTCCCCCACCTCTGCCCAGTACTCCCTGGGAACGTTTAAACTCTGCCTAAAATTTGACTTCAGCTTCCAGCTCCTCTTTAATGAGAAATAAACATCTAAATATATAATATGAATGGCTGGAGGAGTAGGGAATAGGAGAGAGCAGTCAGGGCAGGTCTGGTAGCCCAAGGTCTGCTCATCGTGTCTATCCTTGTCCTCCCTTGGAGCTTCCAGCACCGATCCCTGTAGGAAATATCCATGGGGACGACAGCACGGGCTCATCCCAAACGTGTCTCTGCTCACCCAGCTGAAAAAAACACGTTGGGGTGGGTAGTTTGTGGTGAGAAGAGGTGGTTCTGCCTCTGACCTCCCCATGGCCTCGGAACTTCCTTCCTCCCTCCCTGGTTCCTGCCTTTCTAATCTGCCTTTTCCAGCTCCTCTGGGCTGCACTAACCCCGGCTTTGCCATTTTGAGGTTTTTAACCCCATGGTGTGGGGATGCTGGAAGCTGTCCCGGGAGGGGTTGATGTCCCTGGGGACCTTGGCTGCTCCTTGGCCGAGTTTTGTGTGGGAACACCTTCCCCAGCGGGTGCTCCCGGGGTCATTGCAAGGGGCTGTGCTGCTCAAAATCCCTCCTTTTAAAGCCTTTTTTCCTCCTGCCATCGATTTTCAGCAAGGAAGGAGAGGGAAATACAACCAGCAGGGACAGAGCAAGGACTTGATCTGATCTGAGCAGTGAAGCAAAGAACAGCTGCTGCAAAAAGTCTGTGGGATTTTCCAAGAAAAACAAATAACCATTGAAATGATAAATGTGTGATGTTGGAAAGACCACAGGTAGACCCTTCCAGAAGGCACAGCCAATGCTTCAACCACGTCTTTCCAACTGACAAAGAGAAGGAAGGGATAATCCCTGAAGGAAAACCCAGCCAGAAAGGAGGATTGAGGTGAAGGATTGCTAAGGAACGAGCTCCAAAATGATGTGGCTTGGGGAAAAGCTGGGAACAACCCATCAGGGCTTGTGGAAGGCAGGGAGGGAGTTGGGGATGAAGGGAGGAGGGCACTGGAGTGTTGTGATGGTGGGGGTGAATCACATCTGTGCCACCCCATCACTTGGTCATGCTTCCCTCTGTATTTCTAGAAAGTCTTTGTGGCAAACACAGAGGGGTAAATAACAGCCCGAGTCTCTCAGCCTGCGTGATTTTGGCAACCTCCAGCCTTGTCAGAGGTTTTTCCCCATCAATGCCCCGTGACTCTCCTTCCCCGAGCATCCTCCTCTCCTCACCTGCCAGGAGGCGTGTCCCAGTTGTTCCACAGCTTCAAAAAAAATAAAGCAATAACACAGGATCCCTGCTGCTTTGTTGTTTCAGTCCCTGCTGCAATGGTATTGCTGCACATGGGAACTGCTCGTGCATTAATATCTTTTAAAGCTCCATCTCCTAACGAGCAATTCTGGAGCCACTTCCACATATTAAAAGGGATGGGCTCATTTCCCTTCCGGGCTATTCCTTCCCAGGAATTATAAAGGAGCCGCTGGCAGTGTTATAAAAACTCCCAGGCCAAAGGGAAAAGTCTTTTCTAAGAAAAATAATCCAGGTACATCACCTTTCAAGGAAAAGCTGGGCTTCTTTAGCCCAGATGCTGCAAGCTCTACGCTGTCAGTGCCCACCGTGTCTGCATCTCTCTCTCCTCAATACTTTTTTTTGTTGTTGTTTTGAGAACACACTTTTTACATCATTTATTGAAACAGCCATTGGGCACCCCAAATCCCTGTGCCACCCCCACGGCTGCGTCCCCAGGGCCATTGGGGGCCTTTGCTGCACCGCATCTCCCTGCACCCTCTGTCTGGGGCACCCCATCTCACCACAGCCCCATCTCCCCACTGCACCCCGTCCCCCGTGCACTGCCCTCGGAGCGCTCCCTCCTCAGCGCACCCCAACTCCCTGCACCCCCTCCCTTGCTGCACCCTCCCCCAGCGCACTGCGTGTCCCTGCACCCCTTTCCCGGTGCTCCCCATCTCACCACATCCCCTCCCTCAGCGTTCCCTCTTGGGGGACTCTCGGGGATCCCCCGTGCCCCCTCCCTCACTGTCGCCCCTTGGGGGACTCTCAGAGGTCCCCCCTCACCCCGTCCCTCGGTGTCACCCGTCGGGAGTCTCCCGAGGGTCCCCGCACCCCTCCCTTGCTGTCCCATCTCAGGAGTCTCCCGAGGTCCCCACACCCTCGCTGCCCTCCTGGGCTCCGAGTATCCCCGACCCCCTCCATTGGGGTCTCCCGAGGGTCCCCCCGCACCCCCTCCCTTGCTGTCCCACCTCGGGAGTCTCCGGGCGTTGCCCCCGTGCCCCCTCCCAGCCCCTCCACCCCATGGCCACGCCCCCTGCAGGCCCTGCCCCGCCCCGCCCCGCGGTGTTCCCCGTCCCTGCCGGCGTTGGGCGGAGCCTCGCGCGGGCCTGAGGGCGGGGAGCACCGACAGCCAATCAGCTGCCGGGGCATCTCGCTTGCCCGGCTCCCATTGGCCCGGCGAGGCCCCGGGCCCAGCGCGCGGGGCGCGGCGATTGGCGGGCGGCGGCGTTGGCCCCGCCCCTCGGGCGCGCGGCGCGCCCGCCCCGCCCGCCCGGGCGGCAGCAGCTCCGCCGCCGCCGCCGCCGCCGCAGCGTGGGGCGGCTCCAGCGGCGAGATGGCGGCCACGGCGGGCAGAGCGCTGCCGCTGCTCCTCTGCGGCCGCCGCCCCGCCGCGCTCACCGCCGCCACCGGTCGCTTCCCGGCGCTGGGCCGCCGCCGCCAGCAGCAGCAGCAGCGACACCGGACGGTGAGTGAAATCCGGCGTGCCCTTCAGGAGACGGGCGCGGTGCCGGCGGGCGGGCAGGCGGCGGGGGGGCCCTGGTTCGGCGGCGGCCGCTCGGCGGCAGCTCCGCGGCGGCTCCGCGGCTCCGCTCCGCCAGCTGACGCGTTATTCTTAGCGCCGTCACCGGGTGAAACTTAGAGCGCGGCGGGCGGCGCGGCGAACCGCCCCCCCTCCTTCCCCGGCCGCGCCCCGGCGGCGGCTCCGCGGCGCGGCCGCCCCGCGCTGCCCCGGGACCGGGCGGTGTCCGCGGCGCTGCCGCCGTGCCGGGGCCGCGCTCCGGGGCGGGGGTCGCGGCGGTGCCGCCGCTCGGCCGCCAGGTGGCGCGCGGGGCCGGCGAGGACAGGGGGGCGCGGGGGGCGCAGAGCCCCCGCCGGGAGCGGGAGCGGGGCCGGGACCGGCACCGAGCGGGGCCTTTGACCCCCCCATCCCTCCCGCGAGTGCATCGCTCACCCCCTTTGCTGCCGCGCCCCTCAAGGTCAGACGGGGGAGAGGCTCCCCAAATCCCGGTGGGAGAGCGAGAGGGGCAAAGCCCGCCGGGCGGGCTCTGTTCGCTCCCCCTTTCCTTGGCGGCTTTGCCAGGGAAAGAGGAGCCCGGCAGAGCACGGCTTTGCTGTGTGTCTCAGGGCGGGATAAAAAAGCTGTACGGGCAGCAGGTTGCGTCTCTGAGCTCGAAAAGACTTGCTTAAAATACCGGGAGGGTTTTTTCTTTTTCCCTTCATGAGCCAAGGGAACGGCGCGGAGCCGTGGGATATCCTCTCCTGGACCCCCGGGAGTCCCCCCACGAGCTGTTTTTAGCGCTGCCTCTGAAAGAGCTGCCGCCGGAGGTGTGCACCTGTCGCTCACTTGTTGTTTGGCTGCGAGCAAGTGATGGGGAAACTCCGTGGAGCCACCGCAACTGTGTGTGAATGGGGTGATGGAGCAGCTCTGAGCTCCCCCGGGACGGCGGATACTCCGCGGGGTCCTTGGAGCTGTCCGTGCCGTGTATCCTCGGGGTGCCGGTCGTTCCTCTGGCGCTGCCCGCGTGTTTTTGGCAGCGCTGGGATGCCGGAGGTTCAGTCGGTGTCGGGTGTCTCAATCCCATGTTTGCAGCGCGGTCCTTCCCACGTGTGATAATGTGACTTGTGCAGTGCCGATTTCAGGGTTAATGCCGGCGCCTCGGGACCCGGTCAGGTGTGGAACAGCCTCTCCAGCTTTCATAATTATCATTTCGGTTGTCTCCTTTAGTGCTCTGGCCCGGTAAAAAAAATTTATATTCGTCTAAATTTAAGTTGACCTTTGCGATTAATTTAACAGAGACTCAGGTTCGTGCTTGGTTTCACTCCTTGGGTGAAGTGTAGCAGTAAATGTGAGACTTAGGAAAAAAGAAAACAAAACCAAAACCCACATTAAAAATACCCCAAACCTCTTCTGTTTGCCCAAGATACTTTGCTGCTGCTGAGTGGACGTGACTGAGGTGTGGTGCACACCAAAAACGTACTGCCAAAACCATCTCCTTCGGGAGCCTTGGGGAGGAGGAGGATTTTGCTCGTGTCCCATGGACTGATGATTAGAAAGCTCTCCTGGCTCTGGTTGGGTTGTGCTGCTTGATTTTTTTTTTTTTCTTTTTTTTTTTGGCACCTGTCTGTGGTGTTGCAGTCATTAGTTTTTGGGGGTCTTTTCAACGGGCAGGTCGTAGGCAGGTGTTGAATCCTTGTGAAACAAGGGAGCAGGTCGGGATCCAGTATCCCGATGGTTCCCTTTGATTGTAATGTGCCTGTTTATCTCCTGCCAGCAAAGATGAGTTATCCTTTCCATCACGCTGCACTTGAGAAACTGTGCAGACCACTGGGAGAGAGCAGAGACCCGAGAGCTGCCGAATCCTGGCATAAGTGATCTCCAAGGAGAAATTACGGGAACTGGAGCTCTTCAGAATGAAGAGAAAATCGAAAGGAGGTTGCTGCAAAGAGGAAGCAGAAAACCAGACAAATCTGTGCTGGGTAGTAGAAATAATGGGCTCACAGTGTGAGGAGAGTGGTTTGATAGGTGCTGGGAATCCCTGTTGACAGTAAGAGCAGGGAATTGCTGAATTATTTCCTGGGAAAGATGTTTAGTCTTTGCTCTTGGAGGTGGTTGGGACAGGCTAGACTCACATCAATCAGTTATGGCTGATGAAGAATTGATCATTTTCTGTGATAGGACTGGGCTGTATAAGCTTCCCGAGTCTATGGATTGTATTAGAAAAGAGATAAGAAGAGTTTGTATAATATAGGTGTATTTAATAGAGTGATTATATCAGGTATTTGTCTGTGCAGTGTTGTTTTTAGTACCATAAATTCTACTTGGTTACTTCTCAGGATGGCTGGTTTCTAGCAGAGGTGATAAATTTCTTGGAATAGAGTGGAAATGCTAAATGGTCTTATGGATGAGTTCTTTCAAAAGGGATATAAATTACACTGGAAGAAACTGGACCAAGAGACCAGATTACTTGGAGAGGGCAGTGCTTTAAAACAAACAAAAACCCCTCCAAGGGGTGGGTAAAGTGTAAAGAAAGAGGTTAGGATAACATCAAACAGGAGGGAGGATGAGAGGGTCCAGGTTTTGGAACAAACACTTGGTTTATGAAGAGTCACGTGGGAGTAGAGTAATACTGGGAGTCACAGGGCTGGAATGAAGCATTCACAGCTTGCTGAAGAGTTTTGAAACCTAAAGGAAGTTGGGAAGGCTCAGTGGGCTCAGTGTGGAGATGTGGGATCAGGGAGAAGATGTGAATCCTCACGGTCTGTCCCAAGAGTTTCCCAGGGGGTGAAATACCTGGGGAGGAGGATGCAGGAAACACGAATGAGAAGTTCCTTCATTGATAGCCCAGTAGGAATAAACAATCAGGAGTAATTGTTTATATTTATATTTGTGGATTTCCCTTCTGAAAGTGACGGTGTTGTCCATTGCAGGAGGGCCCTGCAGGGGGAGGTGGCCTAACCATGTGGGAAAAAGGGCTTGGAAGCGTTGGAAGAACATGACAGAGCTGAATAGCAGGACTTGGAGCAGAAGTAGCAGAGGCTGCATCTCTTTCCCCTCTCCCACTTCAGTTGCAACTATGTGAGAGTGGAAGAAGCCTTGCAGAGGTGGAGAGGGGAGAGTTCCCAGGCATGTTTGCAGTGGAGAAAGTGCTGGAGTCGGCTGGGGGGTGGTAACGTGAGGGGGAATGTGTGGATGGTCACGGGTTTGGAGATGAGTAGGGCAGAATAGTTGGTAGAGTGGAACATCAGGAGTATTGGTGTTTGTTTGACGCTGGTGCTGTGTGTGCTCCCTTGCTGGAAGGGAGCTGTGGAGCTCTGGTGCCCAGCTGGGAGGTCACAGGTGAAGGGGAAATTCGGTTCATGGTGCCGAGTGGGAAGACCAGAAGTGGCAAAAATTTGCATCAGCAAGTAAGATGAGGGGGAATAAAAGTTCTGGGTGTGGTTTCCTCTTCTATGTGCCAGCAAGACAGGGCAAAAAAATGAGAATTAAAGGGATGTTCCTTGCAGGAAACTTCCTTTATGAAACAAGGGAAGCCCTTTCTTTGTCTCCTGCAGTTCCGGGTGCTGTGGGTGTTGAGGGTCAGCTGCCCAAGGTGAGAGCTCCATACGGCTGAGGTGCTTTGGGAAAAAGGTTTACCAGGAAGCAAGCTGTAAACCTCTTTCACATATGTGGTGGTAGACAAAGGAATTCAATGGAATGCTCCTGTTTTGTGTGTTTAATGCCTAATCCTCGTGGCTTTCTTCCCATAAAGATTAGAGTCGCCTGTTACTGCATTTCCTGGTGCATGTAGGCAGTGGTTGTGTCAGATTGGAATGGGATCATACGGTTCAAATCTGGCAAAAATACCTGTAAGGAAACCCAGGGCTCGGCTGTACGTGGCATTCCTGTGGTAGTTAATCCTGGCAGTTCTGGGTAGATCAGGAATGATGACTCCTAGTGACAAGAAGCCTAAGAAGTAAAAACTGAGCCAGGCTGAACTGCAGCCAGATTTCAAGTAGGTATTGGACGACCTGCAGGTTTTCCTCTCTGCTCCAGATGAGGGCCAGGGTTTACCTGTGTCAGTCCCTCCTCCTCCAAGCTGGGTAGGATTTTGGTGCAGGCAGCCCCTGTGTTAAGGATGCAGTAGAGAGTGTATCCTGTGCCAAGGAAAGGCGTTGTGGGATGGGGAAACCTCAGGAGGAGGATGCAGTGGGCATCCTGCTGAAGCTGTCCCTTATTCTACCATAGATACAATGTGTACCTGGTGTGTTTTTTTTTTTCCCAAGCTGTGGTTGAAACCTGTGCAGCACCAACTTCCAGAGAAGCTGCTGCTCAGTAGCATGGCCAAAATTTCCCTGGTGCCTCCCTGGTTCCTCTGTGACCTCCCTTGCTGTCAACAGCTTTGTTGCCCATCTCTTGAAACAAGTTGATTTGCCAGGTGAAGCCTGGGGCTTACAAAACTCAGGGGGTGGCAAGGATGGTGAGGCTTGGAAGACTTGGGTGTGTGTTTGTGCTGAGGATGGAATCTGGCAGGCTGCTTTAATTAACTGAACTGCTGTTTTCCTGGGCTTGCACGCTGCTGATTGTAAATTTTCAAAGGAATGATTAAAAAGCCGGAGAGATGGTGGCACTTCAGTGGTTTGAAGGGGGCATAAATTGAAAATTTTGTGCTTTTCAGCTTTTTTTATTAGATTGTAGTATGATTTTTTTTTTTTAAAATGAACTAAAACTTGGAGGGGATGACCAGCAGAAGTATTTTTTTGGTGCATGGAAGTGGCTAAAACATTCTCTTGATCATATTTATTTTGGTAGCAAACCAGAGATCCACTTTCAGGACCCACTCTACGTGTGAAAGAGGAGCACTATAAAGTGAGGACTAGATGTTGGCTTAGGGTTTTTTGGAAGTTATTTGATGACACTGCCTTTTTTTAATTTATAATTTATCCCGTGGGAGTAATCAAGACTTTGTATTAGGGTCCGTGATGAGA